ATGAAATAGACGTGCAGATTGCTTGTAAATTCCCTGACTTAACATTATTTGCAAGCACAATTAGGATCACATACGGCCATTTATTGATCAATCGTTTTCAAAACATTCTAAGTTCTTTTAGATTGCAAATCCAACTTATTGATTATTTATTTTGCAAGAAAACTATTTTCTTTTTTTCAATTGTATTTTGGACAGTGATCACGATGAGTATTGGTTTATACATATGGCAACTGTCGAATATTTAACGTCCATCGCATTAAAATGTTTTTCTTTTTTAATAAAACACGCATTATCGTGTGGCATAAGCTTGGACGCTGCTCAAAAACAAAAATACAAGAGTGGTGTGGCATAAGTTTGATTGAGGATCGTTTAACACTCAAAGACATAGATTTATCTCTTGGGTTGCAATTTTAAATCATTTAGCTACTAAAAATAGACAAATTCGAATGAAAAAAAAATCAATATTGGTTATATATGTATGTGGAAATGCTGATAAGGATCAAGATTATTTATTTTTTGAATGTTTCTATTCTAAGATTATGTAGAATGTTATTCTTTTTAAATATGAATTTTATAGAATAATTAGTAACTGGAATGTAAAATTACAGTAGGCAATAGAGCATTTGCAAAAGAAGATTTTTTAATCTATTATTACCAGATTGATATGAAAGGCAATCATTTATAGTTTATGAAAACAAATCAATTGTAGAATCTATAGTAAAAATGTTTTTCTCCGATAATGTGACTAGATGTATTTATCGGATTATTTGTTACAGAGTTACACAATTCTAAATTTCTAATTAAAGTAATGCTTGGTTCGACGTTTGAGTCTATCTTTATTCAATGGATATTATCATAATCTGTTTTATATATTTGTCATATATTCATGCTTTAGCAGATCAAACTCCTATTTGTATCTTTTTTTTTTTTATGAATAGAAAATTTCATTTAACAAAACATAAAAACGTGCATTATTTATTGACAAAACCAAACATGAATTTTATCGTAACATTATATTTTGATATTTAAATAAACAATAATGTTAGCAATTTATAAGAAACACGGTGTCAAAATGACACAAATTAATTAGATTAAAAGAATTTTACAGCTCTATCAACAATTATGTTTATGACATTTTCTTGAGTTTTTAGTTTTAAAGTAATTGGTTGCTCACGATACACTACAAGTCGAACAGAACATGTAAAATTATTTGAAAAAATAATTTTATTTTGATAGTATATGCTATATTGCATGTCTATTAAAATACATGGAATTAAAAGGTAAAAAAAAATAATCTAATTTTATAATTTATTCTTCTTTATGTTTTTCATAAACTTTGTAGTTAAAAAATGATTTTTATTTTTTTATGTATTAATTTTTAAATAAAAACCTAGAATGATCTAAGTAGAATATTTAATTATAAACTTTAAAAAATGCCTTAATATTTTTTTTTATGAAACTCGCATTGGAAAAATAAAGAAACAATTAATATAAAAATTTGTATAAAAATTAACAAATGATTTTTTATTGTTATTTAATGCTTGTGATTTTTTTTTTAAAGTATGTATTTTTGATTTATATTTTTGTTTATTCACAAAAAAATCAATACATTATTATAAAAGGATGCATTTAAATCATTTGATGATTATCTTGAAATATTATTTTAATTATTTTATTTAAAAATATTGATTTAAAATGTTAAAAAATTAATAACAAATGATTAACATTATATGTGTAGATGCATGATTAATTTCTAATAAAACAAAATATCTTAGTTTTTATACATCATTAATTATACTCGCTAGGTTCAAAATGTGGAGTATAAATAAGAAACATTTAAAAAACAAATAAATTGCAAGGAACATAAAAGTTAATATATTGAATTAAAAAATTACAAAATTAATTTTGATAAATTTTAATTATATAAAAAAGAAGCAAATAAAATACGTGAATTTTTTTTTATAGAAGATTTGAGGCAAATTATCCGAATACATATACTTTTAGTTTTTTAACACTCTCGTTTAAAAATCACAAGAATCCATCATATGAGTTATATCAATATACTTAAAAAATAAAACAATGATATTTTAAAATTTTATTCAAAATTTCATATATAAAGAAAAATAAATCATATCTAGTATTAATTAAAAGTACATAAAAATAAAAAATAATTTCATGAGAATTTTCATAACAATTGACAAACAAAAAAATCAATTTTAATCAATAAAAGTAATATAATTCGATACACACATACATAGATACACAAACAAACACACACACACACACACACACACACGTGTGTGTGTGTCTCATGAGAATTTTTGTTAGAAACAACAAATAAAAAAAATCAATCTTAAACAACAAGAATAATATAATCCAACATATATTTTTATTTTAAATTCTGAAAACATATCATATACATTTTCATCACCGTTAGCTCGTGTGAAAAACAAAAAAATAATGATTGGTTTTTTTTTTTTAGAATTTTCACATCCAATTCAATAATATTTTGTTTTAAAAAAAGTTCGTTAAAAAAAAGATAAACAATGATATTCTAAAATTTTATTCAAAAATCCATGCATAAACAAAAATAAATCATATATATTAGCAAACAAAATTATATAAAAAACAATAAATTAATTTTATGGGAATTTTCATAAGAAACGACGAGTAAAAAAATTAATTTTAAATAAAAAGATCAATATAATCCAATATAGGAGTTCATTTTAAATTCTGAAAGCATATCATATATATTTTATTACCTTCAATTTGTGTGAACCCCCCCCCTCCCACACACACACACATACACACACACACACACACACACATATATAATATATAAAATTTAAATTTAATTTTTTTTTATGATTTTGATACATCTATTTAACTATTTAATAATTTGAAACCATCATAAACACACTCTCCTAACCAAAAGAAGCAATATAAATGCAAAATCAACCAGAAAAAAAAAACCAAAACTGGAGTCGATTATGGCTTTCTTTCTCATCTATCTACATTTAAGGACTAAATTACAGCACAAATAAACTTAGAGATCAAAATATTTTTTTTGAAATATCAAAAAGCAAATATACAATATCAAGAAAAAACAGCATATAAATGCCTTAAAACAACTTAAAAATTATAAAATTATCATTATACAGTGCACGTAAGTCTAAATAAATAGAAATTGAATAATGTTTTGAATAAGGGTGAATAATATCATAAATTGTAAATACTCAAAAAAATTTAGTGTTTTTTCTAATAGAAAAGGCCTTGATGAAAAGAAAATATTTAACAGCATTTTTAAAGCTCTTTTGGAAACTATTATAAAATTACAAAAATGCAGTTATTTGACTAAATTATGACATAAAAAACATTGTAACAATACATGTCACTAAATATTTTATTACAATCACAACAGTTTATAACTAACCGCAAATAACTCAATAAAATCTTTCGCATGCCAGTCGAAATCTAGTACTCCGCTTTCTCGGTACAGAGAAAAAAAGTTAGCTTTTTTACAGTACACAGTGCTTTGTTAAAAAGAAACTGTAGAAACAGATCCGCCGAAACAAAGGCTGTCCTTGTACCGCATTGATAGATCTAATTCAAAGGTGATTTGTGTGTGGAAGTGAATGAATGTTAGAAAGGATGAGTGAGAAAATGGGGAGTGTTTGGACAATCCCTCTTAACTACCATCCTTTTTATATAATTCGAGATCCATGCAAGGATTGTTCGAGGTATGGATAATTTTGAAAGAAAGGACCCCACAACAATATCTCCATATCTCAATGGTCCCACAAATTCTGAAACGATAATGACCGTCAAATATTTTCTAACTTAGATCTAGGAAAGAAAGGCAGGCCAAAACTTGCAAGATTCCAAAGATTGATTGTCCGAAAAGCTTTTCGCAATACAAGGACCAGACCCCACAATCCACGTTAAAAATAATACTCAGATCAACCTCAAATCTAAGGACTGACATGATAATTAAATAAACATATTTCAGTTTTTATTCATTAGATTAAAAAATTGGAATTAATAATTTTAAAAAACTATTAATTTTTTTAAACACATTCGGCTAAAGAGAAAAGATGTATTCTTAATATGATTGGGAAAAAAATTAATATCCTTTTACGATTAAAGTAGTCTAAATTTCGTCAAATAAAAAAGAAAAAAGAAAACAAAGATCACAATCGTGAAGATCTACTACCGTAGACGAGAGAGTACTAGATTCTACCTGGATTGTTCAATAAATATAAAGAGAGAGAGATGGACCCCATCAAGCGATAAATAATGACCACTCTATTAAATTGATTGATTGATTGATCTCTCTCTTTCTCTCTCTCTCACAGTTAGAAGAGAAGACCAACCCTTTCGTGATAAGGGGGAGAAAAAAAAAAAAGAAGAAGAAAAGAAAAGAAATAAAAGGCCTTTCAAAAACTCTCACAGCTATACTATAGACTACTATTCTGCTCTCTCTCTTCTCTGCTTGAGCTCTCTTTCTCTCTCTGAAAAAATATAAAGAAAAAAACACAAACCCTCAAAAAACAAAAAGAAGTGTCCTTTTCAGTTGTAAGGTTCACTTAACTTGTCTTGTTCATGAAAATTTTTTCACTACCGAAAAGTGAGAGACTTAAGAATTAGTATTTGTGTTTTTGAGATCTGAAAGGAAGGTTAGGGATTTTATTTAGTGTGGAGAGGAGAGAAATGTGGCAGCTTGGGGTTAAAAAAGAAGAAGATCTGAGAAGTACATGAAGCAAGTAAGGAGGGGTTTGTGTTGCTGTAGTGGAACTGGAAGTGGCTTTGGATGATAGTTGTTTTCAAGTTGAACAAGTATACTTTTGGTTTTACTGGTGGTGGTGGGAGGGTGGGTGGATCTTTCTTCTATGGTTAAATAATAATTGAAAGATATTATTATTAGGAGTGTTTGGTTTTTTGAGGCTATTAATTGAAAACTTTATTTTGTTTTCTGGGTTTTTTATTTTTATTTTTGAAGAATGAGACTTTCTTCCTCTCCTACTGGGTTTAATCAGCAGACTCAAGAAGGTAAAAAGATTCTAGCTTTGGTGTGTTGTTAATACTGTTTTTTACTGCCTTTCTTGCACTTGCATGCCAATTTTTATTTTTATTTTTTTTTATATATATATTTTTTATGGTGTGCTTGCATGTTGTGCTTTAAATGAACTAGATGTCACATTTTTGTGTGTCTTTTATTTTTTTATATTTGAACATTTAAGATTGCTACATATCTGTGTGTGTGTATCCTGATTTCTTGCTATAATGGCTGATGTCCCATGCAAATTCATGCAATTGTGCGAAAATGTTTGTTTGTTTTTTTTTTCTTGCAGGGGATAAAAAATGTTTGAATTCTGAACTATGGCATGCATGCGCGGGGCCTCTTGTGTCTCTGCCTCATGTTGGAAGCCGAGTTGTGTACTTTCCACAGGGTCATAGTGAACAGGTTAGTGAAATAACTTTGTTTAATTACAGCCTTGTTGTGTAAATTTAGCATCAGAAGAACACATATATGTTATATGCTTGACAACCGGACATTGATATTAACTTATTCATCATTAAATGATATCGGTGCTGCATAATCTGTAGTTGTTTAAGGCTTATTTCATGTTATATATTGTCATAGAAGGGAAAAATCTTATGTTTGGCAGGCTAGCAACTAGCTAATTTTGTAATGTTAAAATAGATGCCAAGGGTCATCTTGTCGAACGTTCCTTTGTTCATATACTTCTTATTGTATATATCGAGTTGCATAGTTGCTCTTTTTTCAGCGTAAAACTTAGTGTCTTGTAAGTTCTGTATGAAACTGTTGATGGCTTATTTATCTTGATTCCTAGTGAGATATTGATACTTCTTTAGCTAATCCCATGTACATATATAAACATTTGATTTTTGCTTTTCACCATTCTGCTAGCAGTTTATGAGTCTTCCATTTTCTATTTAGGTTGCTGCTTCAACCAACAAGGAAGTTGATGCTCACATCCCTAATTACCCAAGCTTACCTCCACAACTGATCTGCCAGCTTCACAATGTGACTATGCATGTAAGTGAATTTTGTTCTTAATCTGCTTCTGATTGGCATGATGTGCAGCTGTTGAACTCAAATGTTTTTACTACAGGCTGATGTTGAAACAGACGAAGTTTATGCTCAAATGACCTTGCAGCCATTAAGTCCGGTATTTTTTACTGCCCTGCTTGGATTTTGAGTTTGCTTGTCTTGTGCTGTTTTTCATGCCTTGACGTACTTTTCCAGGAAGATCAAAAAGATGCTTATCTATTGCCAGCAGAGTTAGGTACTGCCAGCAAACAGCCGACTAACTATTTCTGTAAAACATTGACTGCAAGTGATACTAGCACTCATGGAGGATTTTCTGTTCCTCGACGGGCAGCTGAAAAAGTCTTTCCTCCTCTTGTAGGTCCCACTTTCTAATTCACCTGTTCTTTGTTTGCATGACATTTCTGCAGGTTTTGGGCTATTGCTATCATTCTTCCCTGGTTAATTTATTTTTTTCTATTTGTACTTCTTGTAGGATTACTCCCAGACACCTCCAGCTCAAGAACTAATTGCAAGAGATCTTCATGATAATGAGTGGAAATTCAGACATATATTTCGGGGTGAGTTTTTGTATACTGAAAGTGTTGAAGATTGTGTTTTGAAATGGTTTGAATAATAATTTTTCAATATGGTTTGCCTTTCACTCTTTGTTTGCGTTTTTTTTTTTTTAATTTGCCCATCCTACTTTAGCTTTGCTGTTCCCATATTTGTTTGATGTGACAAGGTTTGAAGTAGAAATTGCTTTCGTATCTCTGGATGCAAGTAGTATCAATGACATCTTTGATATTGTTGATTGCACTCTTATGAGGACCGATCTCCAGACCTATAATAAAATCTGAAATAATGTGGGAATGCAAACAAATTCCTGAATAGGAACAACTACTGAATGGGAAAATAGATCAGATTCTGAATTAAGACTTCTTAAATGAGAAACAAAACAAAACTACAATTCCTAATGTCAACTAAAAATTGTGATTAATCAAGTAGCATTGTTTGCATATTTTTGGTCAATCTTGTCCTTTTCTTATGGAATTGGAAAATGAATAAGAACTCAACTCTGGTAGAAAAATATAGTAGCGTGCTTGAATAAGATACCGACTTATCTTTATTTTAGGACAATGGTGATCACATCAGTGAAAATTGATATTAGGGTGGTGGATATTCTTGCCAAAGTGATGAGAAGAAATTGTCTGGATGTTCTAGAAGCCAATTTCCTGTATATAATGACCTTGTCTTTTTTCTGTGAATTTTCAGGACAACCCAAGAGGCATCTTCTTACAACAGGATGGAGTGTGTTTGTTAGTGCAAAGAGGCTTGTTGCTGGTGATTCTGTCCTTTTCATTTGGTAAAATATTTCTCAATTGCAAAATCTTTATATGGGTGGTGTGTGGAGAATCAGTCTGCCTATAATATGCGTGAATCTATCCTGATGGTAGCTTAAAAAACTCAACAAAATGATCTTTGTTCTTTGATCTGTAATTTTTACTGTGAACTAGAAGTATTTCACATGCTAACTATTTTTTATGTTAGGGGATCAGCCAAGCTGTGTCCAATCCCTGCGTGCACACTGTATTGTAGTGCAGATTTGTGACAAACATCTTCCTTTTGGCTGACCTCAAATCTATTTATGCTGAAAGTTGAATTGCCTTCAATTCTATCGGTAATAACATTTTACCTTTCATCAGGAATGAGAAGAACCAATTACTCTTGGGTATTCGGCGAGCAAATCGTCCACAAACTGTCATGCCTTCGTCAGTTTTATCAAGTGATAGCATGCACATTGGTCTTCTTGCTGCTGCAGCTCATGCAGCGGCCACTAATAGCCGTTTTACAATATTTTATAACCCCAGGTGAAATATTTTCTTGTGCAACATTGAAAACATTTTAATATTAGAATGTAAATATCATTCATTTATGTTTTTTGATTGTAGGGCTAGTCCTTCAGAATTTGTCATTCCCCTGGTCAAGTATATTAAAGCAGTATATCATACACGGGTTTCTGTGGGCATGAGATTTAGGATGCTATTTGAGACAGAAGAGTCAAGCGTCCGCAGGTAAGTCTGTTAGTTTACAGAATTGATTCTCTACGACAAACTCTTGTTTTGTCATTTTGTTGCCAGTAATTTGTTATGCTGTTGTGAGTCATTCTGTAATTTTGCTTAAAATATTGCATAGTCAGCAACTTTTTACTTAGCTATGTGCTTAGCTGCCTCTCTAATGTGTTAAATCAATGGTGCTTTGAAGAACTTGGTCTTAAAGTACCATTTGGGGCTTAATCATTGGCTTAGAGGTGCCTCAATTGCACTTTCCTTTTACTTTTTCTTTTGAAGAGTTGGAGTTGGCCTGTAGTGCTTTTTGTATAATGAGATGCCATGTGGGTTGGATGTGTGGTACATCCTTTTCTTTTGCATGACATTTAAGAATTCCTATTGAGGGATGCCTAGGGTCCTAGTAAAATTCTCGGCCTTTCTATCCATGGTCTATTTGCTACCATTTTTCAGTTCCATTTTTGTTAAGATATGACACCTATATTTGGCCTTCACCTAGTAGTTTAAAGTTTTCAGTCGAGTAGCCATTTAAGATGGTGTTAGACCCTCTTTGACCTTGTGTTCAGGAGTTCATACTGTGGCAACACCCATAATTTATAAATAATCTGCGTTTTAAGTAATAGGATTGATAGGATTTTTTGTGAAGGTGCATGCTAACAAATATAGCCTGACTTTGGCTTTCATCTAATAGCTTAAGGTTTTGGGTTGAGTGGCCATGTGATAAGTTTGAGCTATTTTCATACGGTGTGAGTTTAAGGTTTGGGTTGTGACCATTTGATAAGTTTGAGCTATTTTCTTATAGTGTGAGTTTTCACATCTTTTTTTTTTTTTAAATTTCCAAGCCACCTAAACCAGTTGAAATCAGCCTTTTGATTGTCTAGCTGCTGCTCAAACTGATGATACATCATATTCAGCATCAGTTTCAAATTTTACTCCTAATTTCATTTGGCTGGCAAATATTCTTTCCATCAACTTCATTCAACAGGCTCATCTTTTTTTTTTTTTTTTAAATAAATTTTGCATTGTGTTTTTAAGTATAGTGCTGAATCAATACTTCTCTTTTGGAGTACACGAAGACAAAAGCTTACGAAGCATGTGATTATGATTATATGGTCTGCTATTTTATGGTGAAAAGTATAAAACGAGTTGCTGGAACACTGCCTTCCTGATTTGTTGCCTTTAGCCTGGAGGTGGCAACAGAATGGGAGCCGATTCGTTTGAAACAGATTTTTGCTAAAACAAAAATTTTCAATAGTGATGCAAATTATCTTTCACATTTAACCGTGGTGATGGATGGATGCAGACTCTAAGAAGGATGAAATGATGAATTCATCATCTATAGTGACAGAAAGCTGCCAAAAAACAAAAAAAGGAATAGGTATTTGTAGTCTCTCCAAGGATATAGCTGTTGGGAAACAGTTGGGACGAAGCCATCCTTTTCTAACTCTTAAAATTATACCTGTTTCTTGTTCCTACTTTCTCGCACCATGGTATCAATTTATCATCAGTTTGTGCAGTTAGCACTTTTTCTTTTGAATTCATATGTTGTCGTCTTGTTTTTATTTCCTTTTGTTCCATTGTCCAGAATACATTTTCAAGTTTTCATTTGTCTGAATGCATCTTCTGTTGTCTTGTCTGAAATAACTAGTATACTTAATTTTTTTCACTGTAGCTGTTAGGTATTTGGAATCATTGTTCTTATAGGATTCAGAAGCTAACAGGCGGTCTCTATTGTGCCACATCTTTCCTTTTATCTTCTTTTACTTTTTCATTTTCCCAGATGCATTTTTCTTTCCTGTCACTTTTAAAGATTCCTGCGATGTCTTATCTATAAGCATACCGAGTAGATAACTTCACTGACACTAGTATGTTTGATTCCAGGTACATGGGTACTATAACTGGCATTAGTGATTTAGATCCTGTTCGCTGGCCAAATTCACATTGGCGCTCTGTTAAGGTTTGTGGGAATTTCGTTGTCTTTTCTACTGATTATTTTGAAGCACTTTTGTTGATGATTTGCTGTTAGTTTTTCTTTATTGTGCAATTTTAAAGAACTTTTTTGCTGCTAATTTAGGTTGGGTGGGATGAATCCACTGCAGGGGAGAGGCAACCAAGAGTATCTTTGTGGGAGATTGAGCCGTTAACAACATTCCCAATGTACCCATCTGCCTTCCCTCTGAGACTGAAAAGGCCATGGCCATCTGGGCTACCGTCTTACCATGGTATGTGTCCTTGTTGCTCAAAGCTAGGAAGAAAGATGTTATCCTCACGAACAATTGTCAAGTTTGACACTTAAATGATCCTCCCTCCCCCTGAATCTGCTAAAACCAGGTCTGAAAGATGGTGATTTGAACGTTAATTCACCATTGATGTGGCTTCAAGGAGGGGTTGGAGATCTGGGAGTTCAATCTTTGAACTTCCAGAGCTATGGTGTTGCTCCTTGGATCCAGCCAAGGTTTGATGCTTCTATGCCAGCTCTACAACCTGAGGTGTACCAAACAATGGCAGCTGCTGCACTGCAGGAAATGCGAACAGTGGAATCTTCCAAACCAGCTTCTCAATCTCTTTTGCAGTTCCAGCAATCTCAAAATGTATCCAATGGGCCTGCTGCTTTGATTCAGAGGCAGATGTTGCAGCAGTCAAATCTTAAAAATGCATTTCTTCAGAACTTTCAAGAAAACCAGGCTTCAACACAGGCCCAGCTTCTACAACAACAGTTGCAGCATCGCAATCAGTATGCTGATCAGCAGCAGCAACGGCATCAGCCCCAGCAGCAGCAAGTTCAGCAGCCCAAACAACTGAATGAATTGTCTGCTCAGCAGCAGATCCCAAATGTAATTTCAGCTCTGCCTTGTCTTACTTCAGTCGCCCCATCCCAGTCTCCATCTTTGCAGCCGATTCCTTCCCAGTGCCAGCAGCAGGCCTTTTCAGAACCACTGAGGAACCCAATTGCTGCATCTGATGTTTCTTCAATGCACAGTGTCATTGGTTCATTATCCAATGATGGAGGACCCCACTTGCTTAACTCTAATGTATCCAACCCTCTCGTCTCATCTGCTTTATTACCAAAGCAAGCAGCAATTGATCCTCAGCTTTCTTCTGGAGCTGCTCATTGTGTGCTACCCCAGTTGGAACACTTGGGAACTGCACAATCAAGTGTGTCTGATCTTGCTACCTTGTTAGCCCCTTTCTCTGGAAGAGAGTATTCAGCCTATCAAGGTGCTAATGATCCACAAAACAATCTGCTGTTTGGAGTCAACATTGATTCTTCAACGTTCATGCTTCAGCATGGGATACCAAACCTGAGAAATATTGGCACTGAAAATGATCCGTTGTCTGTGCCATTTGCTGCTTCAACTTTTACAAGTGCTACTGGAAGTGAAATTCCACTTAATTCAGACATGACAGCTTCAAGTTGTGTCGATGAATCAGGTTTCTTACAATCCTCTGAAAATGTGGATCAAGTTAACCCATCAACAAGAACCTTTGTGAAGGTAAATTGTTATGCATACATGTGTGTGTGCATTTGGTTTTCAATTTGTAAGTATATCTTTTGATAATGTACAAGTTGGTATGTGATTAAAAGGTCTGCCATTAATCCTATTAGATCATGCTCAGGATGAAAATTCAACCAGTGTTGTGGAACTTGTTTTAGATAATTTAATGCATGCTGAAGTAGGATCGTAAGGAACTGTGGTTGCCTTCCTGATAAATGCGCCCATTTCTTTCCTTTTCCCTGCTATTTTGACTACTGTTTTAGATAATTTCCCTTGCTCTTGCCATAGTTTATGTTGTGTAAAACTTATGAAGCAGTAGATGCTTATCTCCATGCATCTGAAACTGCCCTTAACGCTCATCTCCATGTATCTGAGAGTGCCCTCTAATTCTGAATGAGCCATATTGTACTAGTGTTTGTATTTGGTACAAATCTAATTTGAATAACAGGTTATTTTGCAATGTCTGTGCTCTACAATCTACAGCAATTACTTGTAATTGTAGCTCCTTATATGGTCTGGTTCATGGCATGCCATCATTTTTTTTACTTATTCAAAATACTTTTGACTTGAACAGGTTCACAAGTCAGGGTCCTACGGGCGATCATTAGATATTTCCAAGTTCAGCAGTTATGATGAACTGCGGAGTGAGCTTGCTCACTTATTTAGCCTAGAAGGCCAATTAGAGGACCCACAGAGATCAGGCTGGCAGCTTGTATTTGTTGACCGGGAGAATGATGTGCTTCTCCTTGGTGATGATCCTTGGCAGTAAGTCCTCAAATTTGTTCTTGCATCTTTTTCCTAATAAATAGTTTGCAAAATGGTAATTTAGGACAAAACACTTGGGAAATTCAAGCATAAATAGTTTGCTGTATTATTTCTCGTACGTGAGAATTCTATTTGCCTGTTGCTGGAATGTATTATGTTAGATCTTCTTCGTTTACGATTGAATGCTGATAGATATCTTTTTCCAGGGAATTTGTGAACAACGTCTGGTATATCAAGATCCTATCTCCGCTTGAAGTGCAACAAATGGGTAAAGAAGGCCTCAGTCCTGTATCTTGCATTCCAAGCCAGAAGCTTTCTAATAGCAACAGCGATGGCTACGTGAGTAGGCAGGATTTTAGAAACTCAAGCAACGGGATTGCAACTATGGGGTCTCTTGACTACTAAGGCAGATGCTCATAAAACCTGAAATTACATGAAAATTAATTCAGAAGTGCGTAACTATTTTGTGATGGCTTATATATCCACTGAGCGGTAATGTTCTTTGTACCCTTTTCTGGTTGGTAAAGTGTTGCGCATGGTCAAGTTTACTCTAGCACATTACTGTAAATTGTAATTTACTATATAGGACTGTTTCTCTTATCACTATACTAGGAATGGCACGAAAGTGTTAGGAGAATGGCAGCATAGTTGCTTGTTACCCTCCCTGTGACTTATAAGATAAACCTGATACTTTAAAATATTGTACTTGCTCAGCATTTCATTTCAGTTCATGATTCGTATATATTCTGAGGTACAATTTTATTTTCCTTTCTGAGGCAAGCTTTCTTTATTGTCTCTTGTTTGATGATACGGACATTATTTTCTGAAATAATTTGGTGAACTTAAATCTCGGTAGTGTGTTTAGTTTCCCAAGCAAACTCGCCCAATCGTGGCCAGATGTCCTAATCGAACCTTACATAGAGGGTGGGGATGCATGTCTTTTCTTCTCAATCCGGAATTAGGGTATTAGGCAAGGCTTCCGCCTGCTAGAACCTGACACAGTTGAAAAGTATAAGACCATGTTATTGGATAGGGTATCTTAAATGCTTGGTTGCCAACTTTGCCTGTTTCTTATTCTTTCGGGTGTGATGGATTTAAATTTAATGCTTGTGTGCTTCAACTGGAGGGAATGGCTAGACCTTTCATGGAAGTAAATCTTTCTCCAATTAACAAAAGGGGAAGTTTTGGGCGGTTGTATTTTGTACCTAGTTTTAGTAGGAATCGAGGATGCTATACTGAGTCGTGCAAGTCTATTAAATGAGGACGAGAAAGCGGGAAGACGAACTACGTTACATAAAAGAGGAAGAAAACGCTTCCGAACAGTACGATAAGTATAGCAATTGGCAAAATTTGGTCCTAATTAGCATGCGAAATGGTGACCAGAGCAGAGATAAAGCTAAAACTGCTTGTGGTTAATTAAATCTAGGACCATTAGGTGGTGACCGGTTGATACTTGAGATGCCTCTCTGGCCTTGCAACTTCTGCTAGAATGAAAAGAATTAGATGCACGTGCTTTGACCTAACACATTCGCAGGTACTATGAAAACCCTTGGAAGCTCCCTGCGTCGTCCTTTCCTGCCTGCCAAGTTCCAACACCATGCTTTCAATTCCATACTTAAGTTCTGACAAGGCCTGCTGGGCCCACTCCCGCATTTTTCATGCACCCTAATATGGGATTTTCTCACAATTTTGAAATATGTTTGGTTGAACGTAAAAGGACTGATGGCATCGCGGTAATAAATAAATAAATAAAAACTGTACTAGAATACTAGCTAACAGGATTTGTCCCACTTCCACGGTGGAATAATGCGGACCACATGCGTGAGTTTCAATCTAACAAAGTTGTTCTACTTCTGAAAAGCTGAAACTCGAAATCAGGTGCCAAACCTGAAATGGGTTAGCTTTAGCTAACTTCTCCGAGTTAGTCTGCCTTCACTGTTAGAATGGTAGTTAAAATATCTTTAGCTAATCAGTATATAAATAAACCTGAAAGACATGTGCTATAATTATAGATAAACTGACAAACCCTTCTTCTAAAGAGCACCGAGCTAGTAGTGCTGGCAGAGATAACCATGGGCGAAGAATCAGAGTATCGACCATTGTTACTAGGACTTGACTCCCATTCACGTCTCCCAGATTTGTCATCTGCTGCAATGGAAGAATTTTTGGAGCACAGGCCTGTGCCTGTCCGATGGTGGCCGCGTCTCGTTGCATGGGAATCAAGGCTCCTTTGGCTCCTATCTGGCTCATCTATAATTGTTTCCGTGGCCACTTTCATGCTTAGTTTCGTGACCCAAATGTTCTCAGGGCATTTGGGTGCATTAGAGCTTGCCGGGGCATCTATAGCCAATGTCGGAATTCAGGGTCTTGCTTATGGTATAATGGTATGTCTATATAATATTGTTCCGGTAATTTTTTTTTCTTGTTCATTGAGAGGCATGAAACTCGAGTTATAAAACATTAGTAGTCCCATCAAAAATTTAAATTATTATACCATCCTTTTTACGGTGTCAACTTGAGACTTTCAAATGAATATCTCAAATCTAATCGTTGAAGCGTCCCTTTGGACCAACTAACTGTTTTTATCGCTTGCACGCTAGTTTTACATCTAGCTGAATGAATTGAGAATAAAATGAAGATACAAAGTTTAATTGCTTCTCTTCATAAGTCGTATAAGTTGTAATCGTGCTTTATATTCTTCTAAGTTCATGATTTTTCAATAATAAACAGCTGGGCATGGCCAGTGCCGTGCAAACTGTCTGTGGCCAAGCCTATGGAGCCAAAAAGTATTCTTCAATGGGCATCATTTGCCAAAGAGCAATTATATTGCACTTGGGAGCAGCCGTCCTCCTCACATTCCTATATTGGTTTTCCGGACCGGTCCTGCGAGCTATGGGGCAATCTGATAGCATAGCTGAGCAGGGCCAACTTTTCGCTCGTGGCCTGATACCTCAGCTGTATGCATTTGCATTAAGCTGCCCTATGCAGAGGTTTCTCCAAGCTCAGAACATAGTAAACCCACTAGCATACATGTCTGTTGGGGTATTCCTACTCCACATTCTTCTCTCATGGATCGTTGTTTATGTACTGGATTATGGTCTCTTGGGAGCAGCTCTAACTCTGAGTCTCTCATGGTGGTTGTTTGTGATCGTAAATGGGCTTTACATTGTCCTGAGCCCATCTTGCAAGGAAACCTGGACTGGCTTATCTATCAGTGCTTTCACAGGAATATGGCCCTATTTCAAGCTTACAATCTCCTCAGCTATCATGCTTTGGTATAAAAACGATTTACGATATTTCGTGGTTTAGTACCAAGTTCTACATTCTAATTGCTATGGATATTGATAATGCAGTTTGGAGATATGGTACAGCCAAGGACTGGTACTTATATCAGGACTCCTCACTGATCCAACGATATCACTGGACTCCATTTCAATTTGGTATGCCAACAGCTACCATCTCCATTTCCCCACTTACAAAATGTCATTGTTTTTTACAGGTTCTAACTTGAAAATGAAACATTTTCAGCATGAACTACTTGAACTGGGACATGCAATTTATGCTGGGCCTAAGCGCAGCTACCAGGTTCGGCAAAAACTTGTATATACATGCTTCGTTTGGCATATAATCGAGGGATATTTTCGTACATGTGAATCTATTTATTTTGTTTTCGTTATCTTGAGCTACTTTTCGGCATCGAGTATGAAGAAAATTCATATCACATATCCATACCAATGATTTTGTTTGGTTGAATTGCAGCGTTCGAGTAGGTAATGAGCTAGGGGCTGGTAATCCCAAAGTAGCGAAATTCTCGGTGCTAGTAGTGAATGCCACTAGCATCATAATTAGTATAATTTTCAGTGCAATCGTTCTGATTTTCCGAGTTGCATTAAGCAAACTCTTTACGAGTGACTCTGAGGTCATAGAGGCAGTTTCTGCGTTGACTCCCCTGCTTGCCATCTCTGTTTTCTTAAATGGCATTCAGCCTATATTGTCAGGTCAGAAAGAAATATTTTATACATCAAGTCCTATCAAAGGCTATAACTACAAGATAGAATAAAGTAACCATTTCCTTGTTGAATTTCAGGTGTGGCCATTGGAAGTGGATGGCAAGCTATTGTAGCTTATGTTAACCTAGCCACATATTATGTAATTGGTCTCCCAATTGGATGTGTCCTCGGCTTCAAAACCAGTTTGGGAGTTGTTGTAAGTTTCTCTTCCATGCATAACTTTTGCTGCAACTTTGCTGATAGAAGAGAATTCAGATAAACCCTCGTTAACTTTTTTCAGGGGATTTGGTGGGGGATGATCACTGGAGTTTTCTTGCAAACAATAACTTTAATTATTCTTACTGCCAGAACAAATTGGGATGCCGAGGTAATTTATTCATGTTGCGTCGATTACTCTTTTCTATGTTAGATTGAATTGAGATTCATTGTCATTATTGCCAATCAAAAAATGGATTTACAGGTTCAAAAAGCAGCTGCACGTTTGAAGGGCTCATCAAATGAAGCGTCATCTTTGGTAGACACCATTTAAGGATATTTGGATTGACTCCACCTTCTTCTTCTTCTTTTCTTTTTTTTTTTTTTTTTTTGTTTTTGTTTTTTGTTTTCCAGGATCCAACATTTGAGTTATTGTAAAGCATCCCGAGCCCAACCCATTGACGGATGTAAAATTAATTGAGAATATAGTTGGATAAACTTGTTTTTGTTACAGCAGCAATTTAATCTTTACTATTATTCTAGCTGGATAGATTCCTTAGTCATGGTTTCAATATTCCAAACTCCGATTAATTGGTTGCAAGAAAATACAGTTTAAAGACTTCAAAATAGAGTCATGAATTCACAGCATTGCTTACCAATTTACCAGTTTCAAACCACTTTATTCTGAACCGGATGAACCAAACTGACTCAGCCGGTTTGAACCGGGCCCTATAGATGACAAGTCATCCCTCGAGTCATTCTCACTGGATGACAGGTTATCCACTTTGTAGGAAAATAAGAAAAAGTGTTTGATGGCATAAGGAATTCAACTACTGACCGACCCTTTTTGAACATACCTGCTACCACTTCATGTCTTCTTGTGTCTGGATGCTTCCACGTATATATAAATACAAAATTTAAAAATTTTGCCAAGATGAGCGACTCAACGATTTGACGGAAGAACTTGCGAGCTGCGATCCATGATCTCCGTTGGATCAAGATTCAATCCAGCTACGATAACATTATTAAGAAAAAAGCTAAAAAAAAAAAAAAAAAAAAAAAAACAGGAGTTGTTGCTGTTTTAATACTATTTATTCATTGCTACCTCACAAACATAAACACACGTAATGCTTATTCATTGTAATTCAGGTGTAGTGTTTGAACCATCTTCTTAGATCTTAACCATCCATTAAATGTTTGTCTTTTTCACAGCTGTCCGATCTGCCAACTTCATGCCTTTTGATTTTATTTTCTTCTAAGGTGGGGTTTTTGCTTGGTTTCTACTTCTTGAATTTTCCTTAATTTCTTTTTTGCTATTACAAAAGAAACCGAAAAACCCTTTTGTTTTATTTTTAATTTCGATCATTGCCACTTAGTGTATTTGTAAAATTTCATATCTGTCCTTAACTGATTCTTTTTTTAATTTTTTTTCTTTTCTCGTCCTTTATTTTTCTTTTCACATGGAGTATTTAATGGTCTTTCTTTCGTTGTTTTTTTACCCTTATTTTAGTAAGGAGCAGCTTGGTATTCAAGAGCGAATTATAAATTAGTCCCCCTCTCTTTGAGAACAAATTAATTAATCTTTCTATTTCAAAAACTAATTTTTTTGTCCTTTTTGTTATTTTTTGATTTGTTTTGATTTAAAAAAAAATAGCAAAGGAATAAAAAACAAGTGAAAATATGAAAATATTGATGAGAATAAAATACAGTCAATAAAAAAAAATCAGTTGTGTTCAACAATAGCTAAAAGTATCAAGTAATTAGTTCTTTAAACTAAAGGGACCAATTAATTCATTTCCCTAAACGAGATGGACTAATTTATAATTTATTTTTCAATTTAAGGATCTCTTTCATCTTTTTTTGGTAGGAGATTTTTTCTTTTTTAATAAATATCATGTTTGTATGTATTTGTTAACAAATACTTATAAATAAAACGATTTATTTATATGTATTTGATTCATTAGTTTTGTTGGAAATTAACTATCTATCTATACACATAACACCAATTATTTGTTATTTATTGTTTTTCATATTCTATAATCAATATTTTTAAATAAAATAATTGAAATAATGTCTTGAAAGAACATCTCAATTATTCAAATATGGTTTTTAAATTAACATCACCGATTAATTTGTTAACAAATACATATAAATAAAACAATTTATCTCAATAAATAGATTCGATTTATATTAATCACAAAAAACAAATATTCTACCTGCACTATTCCATAAGAATTGTTAACTTTATGCATATAACGGTTGTCCGATTGCGATATAATGTAGGTATTCAACTAATAAACAACTATTCAAAATTGAAAAATGAGGATATAATTATAAAAAATTTAAAAGTTTAAGCATTTAATCTCCTACACAACACACTAACGCTGCCCACACTCAAAAAGCCAATGCCGAAAAATCTCCGATTTAAAACTTCTCCAGCGTTTTCTTTGTAGTTTTTTTAGTACGAAGTATGTAATATTTATATATCAATGATATATATATAATCATAAAATATTTTTTATCCTATCAGATGTATATATAATAACTAACATATAAATTTTTAATTAGTTTTAACATAAATTCATTTCGAAAATATCAATCAAATATTATAGTTATAATCACAATTACCGCTGCAATTACAACTACAGTTAATTTTTAAATAAAAAAATATACTTATATTAACTACTTTAATATATGACAAAATAACAAAAACTAATTAAGCAGATGAAATAAAAAATCATTAAAGTGTCAAAACAATATATTTTGTTTCCAGTTCCTTGGATCGTAATCGATACATATTGAACTGGTACATTATGTGAATTTGTTCGATTTAAGAAATCAATTAAATAAAGAAGTTGACAGCACCATTAATTCAAATTATTTAATTAACGGTAATGATTTTATTTTGCTACAATGGTTACCGTTACCACATAACAGAAAGTGTGCTGTCTATCATGCCGGATTTCTTCCTTTGACAAAAAACTTCACCCTTCATAAATTCAACAAGAATTAAATATGTTCTTCGTAGTGATTAAAATTCATTTCTAACCGACCCATATGATAACTCTATTGAAAAAATTATTAAAAATAAATAAATAAATAACGGGAACAATCTTAAAATGGGTTTAAAGATAAATTTTACCTTTATTCTATTATGATTTGAAAATTTTAGATCCATAATATCAAATTGTATAATTTGAACTCCAAAGTATTGAAAATTAGGCAAATATAATTCAAATTGTTCAATTCTCGCTATGTGTAATGACAACTAGATTGACCTTTATTTGGAATGCCAAAATAACGTCGTTTTGACATTTCATTGTTAATTATGTTTTTTTTTTTTTTGAAAAAATTATCCTCCTAATCTTGATTTTTAAAATGTTTTTTCTTATAAAACATTATACATATTTTTAATCCTTTAATTTTATTTTTTTATAAAATATTATTGTAAAAAAAATAATTAAAAATACAAAATTTTAAGCCTTAAAAAAATATTTTATAAATTAAAACGAGTATAATTAAGAATTGACCTTTCTAATTTTATAAATTGAAATATATATATATATATATTTTATAAAATGTTTATAGTATTTTTTTTAAAAGTTGAAAATAAGAGGGTTCAAAATATTTATAAAAATATATTTTTTGATATAATTTATAAAATATTTATAATATTGTATAAGAAAAAAAGTTATTTTAAAAAGTTTAAGATTAAGGAGTTAAAAAATATTTTTAAAAAACATAATTAACAATAAAATATCAAAATAACATCGTTTTGACATTTAAAATAATGTTCAATTTATACAAAATAAAAATTGAAAAATTTAGATCGTATTTGTATAATTTTTATATTTTAAGGTTTGAATTATGTGATTTAGTTTTATAAATTTAAAATTATCAAATTGTAATATAACCGGACAAAAATTGCCCTTGAACCGGAATGGACCACAGAGGCGGATCCGAATACTCCGTAAAATACGATTTTATACTTTAATTAACGTTGCTCTCTGCCAAATATAACACCAATAAAATAAAAATAAGAAAGGTTATTTTTTTCTTTTATTTTTTATCAAATGCTTTCACAAATTCAGATCCAAGCCTCCCCCTCTCTCTCGACATTGTCGTTGCTGTTGATCTACAACCGGTTTAATCAGTCTCCGGTCACATTAGACCTCAATTCTCTCTTCGTTGTTCGAATCCAGAGGTCGGTTGTGAATGAGTGTGCTGTTCATGCTTGTATCTTTTGATTGATGATTTCTTTCTTCGTTTTTTTTGACAATGAATAGAAAAACCTAAAGCGTGTGTTTCTTGCACTTATTTGAAAAAAAAATGGATCTAAATATTCGCATTTTCATTTTTTCGGTTATTTTTTGAGTTTGTTTGTGAGACTTTGACTAAAGGATTGAATTTTTGGTGATGGGAAGGAAAATGTAGTGCGAGGAAGATTGGAAATTGTCTAAAGTTTGAATCTTTGGCTTTGATAATGCGGGACCCTAAGAAAAGAAACCATCACTTCCATTTAAAGATTCGAAGTTTCCTTTTTCGTTCACTGTTGCTCCATTTTTTTTCTGTTTTGTTTTTTCTTAATTGTTTGTTGTGTAATCTATTATTGTTGTTTTCAGTTTAAGGTGAATGAATGAGGTCCATTTGACATTGATTCTTTAGGGAAGTTTTTGAGTGTTGAAGAGCTATAACGAGGTTAAATTTATGAAGAGAAGAGATAGTAGATAACAGAGATGGTAGGGAGCCAATCTGCTGATTCCAGTGAGCATGAGGATCAACCATCGTCTCGAGAAGTTTGGGCAAATGGGATTTGCATGAAAACTAGTGAAGTCGAAGCAAAGCTCGATGAGGGAAATATTCAAGAGGCAGAGTCTTCTTTACGTGAAGGGCTATCGCTAAATTTTGAGGTTGAGTCCTTAATTTTTATTTTATGTTGCTGTTATTAATTTATTTTACATTTTCAAGATTGAGGTTGAATGTGTTGAGAATGATGTTTAATCTACCTACTTCACCCAACATCAATTCTCATGGATATAATAATGTTTAAGAAATCCAAGATATGAATGATCTATTACTCAGGCAATGATAATTTGATATCTACAAGGCTATCCCAAAGAATCAACTTTTTCAGAAGTCTAATCCTTGCCTGTCAAGTACTTCCATGGAGGTTTCTATTTCAAAGTGATGATTTTGCTGGACCTAGTGGCTTTAGAACAAGGATGATAGCTCATGCCCTTTTTTTTTTTTTTTTTAAAGATCCTCAACTTTTCCAAAATTCTCACGCTCTGGGACCCATATGCTTTTTACCATTTCTATCATACCTACAAATTCTACTCTTGCTGTTTCTGTTGATAAATTTTTTTCTTTGTTTTGTATTCTGTCTGTGCAGTCTTTATTACCCTGTTTCTCCCCTCTAAGTTCAGGAATTCGGTTAAAAAGTCAATTACCCTTCCCATATTTTCCAGAACAGATTTGCTCATCCATTTGACTTTCATTTCTCATTTCAATTTAATTTATTTCTTATTTTGAAACTCCTCCTTTCAGATTTTTTTTTAACACTATTGGTAATGTGCTCTTCCTCCATGGAAAATTTACTGTTATTGTCTGTGTTTACTGTCATTAGCTGCATGTGCCTTTTATGTCATGCTGTGTGTTAATTTTGATTGCTATTGTATATTTAGCCTTTTTCTATGCAACATAAGCAGACAACAGATATGATACAGGGTAAGAGTGCTCAGTCTATTCCAACTCTAATATTGCTGTTTGTATATAAAAATTTAGATTTTACTTGTACCTTTTCCATTAATTTTCAGGTTGTCAATATTTTTGTGTTTAGATTCCAGGTCTGTGCAATGATTTTATTGCAATTTATTTTGCTTAAATTGACTTGTTAATGAAACTTTCAAAATTCCAATGACTACTGAAATTTTACAAGTTGAAATACATTAATTGACATAAAAAAGAAGCAACATAATGACATTTTTGCACACATCTGTAAACAATAGATGTGGAGATGCGATATAATGGTTTGTGTGTTTATGAAATTTTGCAGGAAGCAAGAGCCCTTCTTGGAAGGCTGGAGTATCAACGAGGAAATGTGGAAGCAGCCCTGCATGTGTTTGATGGCATCGATCTCCAGGCTGCTATACAGCGGCTGCAACCATCCCTTTCTGAAAAACAGCAGTCTAGGAAGGGTCGTTCTCGTGGTGATTCACAGCATGCAGTATCGCAGCATGCTGCTAGCCTGGTGCTTGAAGCGATATATTTAAAAGCAAAATCTCTTCAAAAGCTTGGGAGACTAAATGGTAGGTTGATCTTCCAATGATTTATAATGACTCTTGGCACACTTACCTTGTACCTTTGGATGCCCATTTTCTTTTGAACCCTGCTTTGTGATAATCTTGCAGATGCTGCTCATGAATGTAAAAGGGTGCTTGATGCCGTGGAGAAGATATTCCATCAGGGCATACCTGATGTGCAAGTAGACAACAGATTGCAAGATACAGTTAGTCAAGCTGTAGAGCTCCTTCCAGAGCTCTGGAAGCAGGCGGGTTGCTATCATGAAGCAATGTCTGCTTACAGACGTGCTCTCCTTAGTCAATGGAACCTTAACGACGATAGCTGTTCAAGGATTCAAAAAGGGTTTGCTGTGTTTTTGTTGCACAGTGGAGTGGAGGCTGGTCCACCCAGCTTAGCTGCTCAGGTTGATGGTTCATATGTTCCTAAACACAATCTGGAAGAGGCAATTTTACTTTTGATGATTCTCGTTAGGAAATTTAACCTTGGTAAGATTGCGTGGGACCCATCAGTTTTGGAGCACCTTACATTTGCATTATCTCTATGTGGCCAAACTTCCGTTTTGGCTAAGGAACTTGAACAGATCATGCCTGGGGTATTTCGTCGTGTTGACCGATGGAATACTTTAGCTTTTTGTTACAGTGCAGTGGGAGAAAAAAAGCAGCTTTAAACCTATTGAGGAAGTCTCTCCACAAACATGAGCAACCTGACGATCTCATCGCACTCTTGTTGGCTGCCAAGATCTGCAGCGAAGATTCTCATCTGGCTGCAGAGGGAATGGGATATGCACAAAGAGCTATGAGTAATGCTCAGGGGCGTAATGAGCATCTAAAAGGTGTGGCCATTCGAATGCTAGGTCTTTGTTCGGGAAAGCAAGCTAAAGTTTCTCCATCTGATTTTGAAAGGTCTCGTCTTCAGTCTGAAGCATTGAAATCATTGGATGCTGCAATAACTTTTGAGAAAAAAAATCCTGATTTGCTTTTTGAGTTGGGAGTGCTGTATGCCGAGCAACGAAATTTGAATACTGCTCTGCGCTATGCAAAGCAGTTTATTGATGCAACTGGTGGTTCCTTGCTAAAAGGTTGGAGGTTACTGGCTCTGATTTTGTCCGCTCAGCATCGATTCTCGGAGGCTGAGGTGGTAATTGGTGCTGCTTTGGACGAGACTGCAAAATGGGAGCAAGGACCATTGCTTAGGCTGAAAGCAAAATTAAAGACCTCCCAGTCTTTACCCATGGAGGCGATTGAAACTTACCGCTACTTTCTTGCATTGGTTCAAGCTCAAAGGAAGTCTTTTGGTTCTCTTAGAAGCGTTTCTCAGGTAAGCTGCTTCTTTTTTCTCATCCACATAAATCATTTTGTGATCTTGTACTGTCTTTAGCTCAGCAAATTGCTTTTAGTATGCAGCATCATCACAAATTCAGCTTGTGTGCTGACTTCTTTTAAATTCTTCTTTATCCTCTCTCTTCCTGTGATAGGCTGAGGATGATAGAGTGAACGAATATGAAGTTTGGCATGGCCTAGCTGATTTGTACTATCGGCTTTCACATTGGAAGGACATGGAGGTATGCCTTGGAAAAGCCAGAGAGTTGAAACAGTACTCTGCAGAAGTTATTCACACTGAAGGCAAGATCTGAAACTCTAGTCACTGCACTGTATGAATAAATTTTAATGCTTTTATTTTTAATATATATATATATATATATATATATCTTCAGTGTTGCTGAAAATTACCAAATATGACAAGTCTATAAGATTTTGTATATTTGAATCTGGTTGTCTACCTATGAGGAAAGGCCGGAACTCTAGACAAAAGCCATTGCATGCAGGGCCAGGATTCTTACCATGAAGGACTCAAAGAAATGCAGTTTAAAATTAGTAGCTTTTGTTGACATAAGATGAATAGAGCAACTTAAAGAGATCACGATGCAGTTTCTCTGAGGAATAGCTTTTTATAGTTTACCCTGGACTCTGCCATCCGTCGTGTTGTTCTTTTTTTCTTCTGACGAAAACTCACTATAATTTCTGTGGAACATCCTGTCATCATGATGCACCTGAATCGTTATATTTTATTATTTGTCTTTGATGTGAAAATTCCATTGCGATCACTTTCAAGAAATTCAAATGGCCATAGGCTCCATAGCATATTTTTATGGGCTGAAGTTTATTTGCTTTCTTGTGAGTAGGTGGTGTGCAACTAAATTCAGAGTTCTCCATAACATTCTTTTTCTGGTTGTTTCTCGAAAATTTAGTAGGATTCTAGATGCTTATGTTGTGTTATCAAGTATAGCAGCCTCAAATTAGAATGCGTATCTATAGTTGTTTTGGTTACATGGTTGTCTTCTCGTGTGACTCTACCAGGTGTTATGCTCCAAGGACGTGGACAAGTTGATGAAGCAATGTCTGCTTATATTAATGCTCTTTTAGTAGACCCATCATTTGTGCCTTGCAAGATACTGATTGGTGCCATGTTATCCAAGAGGGATTCCAATGCATTGCCTGCTGCAAGAAGCATACTCTCTGATGCCTTGAGGATAGAACCCACCAACCGAATGGCTTGGCATTACCTGGGGATAATTCATAGAGTTGATGGACGGATAGCTGATGCCGTAGACTGCTTCCAAGCATCCTGCATGCTTGAAGAATCTGATCCCATTGAGAATTTCAGTTCTATTCTTTGACTAGTTTCACTTTATTTAAGGTTTGAAATTTCACTAACTTTTATTTATAAGTTGCTATTTATTTATTTATTTATATGGTTATTCTTCCCCCTACCTTTTGCAGCCCAATCTACACAAGTAATTCTCACCAACGTCAACTCTTGAAACAGTTTGACTAATATGTTCTGTTGGAAATTTTCCTAATTTTTAGTCCTCTATTCCTTTGACCGTAAAGGAGGCCTGAGAGGAGCAGTGAGGGGATTAGGTGGCTTAACGGAATGCAGGAAATAAGAAGACAGAGAAAGGATTGGAAGTTAATTTGATTGAAGCGTGTATGAATGGCTTACATCGGGGGTGGTCTTCAACATATTGTTCTGCAATGATCATTCGGCTGTGTAAATGTGTGGTTTAAAAGTGAGCAATGGTTTTGAAAGATCATTACAGATTCAAAATAGTTTATGATGCGTCAATTGTATATTGCTTCTTTTGGCTCTTTAAATTAGAAGAAACATTCACAGTAAAGTTACCTTTTTATCTTTTAATTTGTACAACAGCGAATTCTTCTAAGATGGATCGATACATTAGAAGGTGCAATATGTTTTATTCTCTCTTCTTTGTTACTTTTGGATCATTGACATTTAGTTAGCAGTTCAAATGAGGTAATATTGACTTCGTTTCGAGTTTACTGCTAGCAGTATTTTATGATAAGATGATTGTAGTCTCCGGCTAAACGGAAAAAATGAAGTCATATTTGAAATTGGAAAGATATTACGCCAGATCTGTTACTTTTTCCTTTTGTTTTTTCTTTCATGGATATATATATATATATATATATATATATATATATATTCTTGATAGATAAAGATCGTGCAGTTTATCTGAAAAGTCAAAATTATCTTTACATTCCCAAAGCTCAATTGTGTGTTTTCTTTTTCGATAAAAAGCAATGTAAAACTCACCAAGGGCTCTCTGAGTCACTGTTCACTCAGTATACTACTCATCTAAGACTTTTTCCCTATACATTTGCAAAGACAAAGAAGAGTACTCCGATGGCATATGGCTATCATCAAATCCACGATATCAAATGTTTATTCAGAAATTGCAATTTCAAAATCACATAAATTCTTTCATCAACAACGAAGATCACTTTTAACACCAAAAGAAATCTTTGACTGCCATTATCGTTGCGATCAAGGGTTTATATTATCTGGGCTTTAGTCCCAGTAATGGCTGCCGTGGATTAGGATGCTTGAAGGAGTCCTGTTATTGTGGTTGACTTTTACGGTTCGCGTTTTTCACGTGACGATCTCTACATATGGGACTGTGTCCAGTTGCGGAGGTTAGCATTTGTTACATTTTATATATAAAAATGCTGTTTAGAAGAGCAACTCCTTTTTGACTAAACTTTGTACTTTCTTCTGACTACTTGATGATTCGTTTTTTATGCCTCGAGGGGAACCAAATCCATTATTATTTTCTACATCCAAAGTGATCCCAGATCTTTGCAAATAAAAACACGTGGCTTTTCAGAAAAGTTTTGGGGGACAAGGGCATGTTCGACTAGAATCAGCGTCTTAGTTGTACGATTCCTCGTATTTTAATCACGTGTCGTAATACATCTGCCCAAAACAGTTTTTTAGAACCAAATCGTTGAAGGATACATCAGTTCTTCACAAAAACTATTAAAAAAACCTTTAAAGAAAAAAGGTGAATTGTTACGGGAGCAAGGCGCTGGCAACTGTCAGTCTGTCAAACCTTTTTTTGCCATCTACATCCTCTTCAATTAGATGACTTTAAACCACTACTAATTAAAAATCAAAACTGCACATGTAATAAAACACAATTGTTAAAATAGCAAGTTAGGTTTGTTTGACATCACGCTCCACATAGAATGCAATTTCATGATATTGCTTTCCCTGTCCTCTTTACACTATAACCATACCACTCAAGACGTAGCAATATCTTTTTCCCTTTCACAAGGGACCTCGCAACAAGAAAGACAAAATTATAGATGACATTATCTTGTTGATAACAGCAAGATAATGCACAGGCATGCGCAGGAGGAGGTAGGGAAAAAATAAAGATAAAATCAATCCTTTTATTTAACTAATTATGCAAACTAAGTGACCGGGACCAACAAAGTGGTAGGAGCATGAACCAACAACATTCTCGTATATATGACTTACATCCAAGGCAAGTGGCACTCCACTACCTCTTTGAATAAACTACAGGACTAGAATCTCTTATTATTTATGCTTGTCCAAAGAAAACAGTACCGTATACATAGAAGGGGACGGACGACACACCGTTCAATGATGACAGGTTGATTTTCCACGACATTTCCCAAACAGCTCAATCGAAGCAGAGATGATGTGTTAGCCAGTTCCCATGTTAAACATATCTGCATATGTATGGTTGCATCTAGAAAAGGAGGTCAGCAAGAAAGTTACATTCGGGAGATCAAGAGTGGGATAGACACCGGTGCCTCCTCACCCATGACTGGCTGAAACAAGTCCAGCTCTCCATAACGCTCCAGAACGCGCATCCTGCAATCTTCTGCAGCCATCAATCCTGTCGAGAATGCACCATGCACTGACCCTGGGTAATTCACACTTGTTGCCTCTCCTGCAAAGAATAGGTTATCTATTGGGACCCTTAACCTCTCGTACAGATGATGGGGTTTGCCTACTGTATCATAGGTATAAGAACCAAGTGAGTTGATATCTGAGCCCCACCGAGAAACAAGATACTGAATCTGCACAAACCAAGAAAAATGAATGTCATGTCATGAGTTTCGTACAAAGCCCAAGGCAGTAGTTAGCTCCAAATCTCGGAGAATATCATGAATTCAATGAACAAGAAGTGCAAGTATATGGAACTCAGATTACCGGTGCAGAAGCATCAGGAAGGATCTTCTTGAGTTGTGTAAAAGCAAAATTGGCAGCAGCTTCATCAGACATTTTCTCAATGTCTCTGGCAAGCTTCCCAGCAGGCATGTAAACAAGGACAGGGTGACCAGTTGCCTTATGAAGATTCAGGAAGTAACTGCAGCCATATGATGTCTCTGCAACCACACCCAAGAACTCTACATTTGGCCAGAACACCTGTTCAAAGTTCAACACAATCTTATTCTCAATTCCCACTCCAAGGTCATCTATGGCTTCTTCCTTCCAGTCTGGAAGTTTAGGTTCGAATGTTATGGTCTTAGACTTCAGCACACCAATAGGAACAGCAACAACAGCAGCATCGGCCATAAATGTTCTCCCATCTTCCACTGTTACCTTTACTCCATTATAACGCCTTGCTATTTTTGTCACCCTAAAAAATAATAGGGATGAATTGTAATTGCTAGACATAAAACAAGCGGATGTGTAGTGCTCTCAAGTGTGTACAAGCTCGAGCATAATGCAGGAAAAGCAAGAAAAAATGGCTATTATTATCCAATCATACCTGTGGCCCAAGCGGATGTCAAGACCTTTGGCAAGAGTGTTTATGACAGGAAGGTAGCCCCTCACCATAAGCCCATGCCCACCAGGGAGCAGTTCTTCCTACAAAAGATGAAGCAAAATACCAGTGTATCAAGACATAATTAAGGGTAAACTCTACTACCAAGAAAAAAAAAATTATTTCTAATTCTAGCCAGGAAAGCAAATGCTAGTGATGATACTCAGGATTCTGAAAGATGACGTCGTTGATAAGTGAAAAATTACCTGATCCCAGCATTTAAGTGATATTGTCTCAGAATCAGCAGCAAACCATCCTTCCATTCTGCACAAATACCACTGAAGCACCTTGTGGGCAAGCCCCTCCAACCTGTACGTCAAAATTAACTTTATTAAACCAAAATTTCTTGGTCAAGAAACATACAAATTACAAGAAATGACTTTTACAATATGTTATTATGGGAATATGACCTTAAATCTGGTCGTCTTTCAAAAACAATTGAGAAAGCACGGAGTATAGACATGTCTTCATTGTTTTCGAGTCTTACTTTATCTGTCTGCATTCAAGAAGAAGAACAGCAACTCAGAAACGCCCATGACACAAACAGAACAGGCTTGTGTTGAAGCGATGGAAATATTTTTCACAATCGCAAAGAACACCATCCTCTTCAAGGGTTTCTATGCTAGAAAAAACTCCAAAGACCAATTAATGAACCCAAGATACAATAAGCTTCAGGCAAAGAAAAAACGATTGATTAAGCTAACAAAGTCTAGAAATGTTATAATTAATATTAGTAAGTGCAAAAAGAAAATTTAACGAAAGAAAGCATGCCTCTTTTAAAATGTTCTCAAATGCTTCGCCAACTTTGGTGACCAATTCTTGTGGAACTTGGTTCCCATCCACATCAAAGAGTGCGTAGCTGCACAGAATATAAAATTTAGACGAAATAAACTGAAACAGTATTCAAAGTAGCAGCAAAGAGAACACTTAAGAGAAATGTTACTGAAAATTGGGTAAATGTCAAAAAATACAAACAAACTTGAAACTCAACCCAATCATTGACTTCTCTTAATAGGATAGGGCCACAGACAAAAACCTAATAGCAGATGGCAAATTGGGGGATACAAAAAACCCTAAATTATCTCTCTACATCACAACTTTAAAAGAGATCAGGAAATCATAATTCAAGACTAAATCATGCTATAGAATTGTGATCGTGATGTTTTAGTTAATGAAAGGAACTTTCCAAACATCCTACACAACAAATGCAAAGTAAATCAGCAATAAAAGCAACAAATAAAAGTTTATATCAATTAATTAATTACCTTTCAAGATCATGGTCATACAAGACTGAGTTATCACCACTAGTACGGTACAGGGGTAGTCCTAACCTCCCGATCAATGGTGCCAAGGGATTCTCTTTGCACACCCCATGTAACCTGAAACCACGGTCATTCCCATTTTTTAACTATTGACTACTAAAATTAATAATCAAATAAAATGAAAAATTATTATTATTATTGTTATTACCATGATGCACCAAGGTCGACAGGAAAACCAAAAGAGAAATCAGTATAAACTCGACCACCAAGCCTGTCTCTTGATTCTAACAAGACAACCTGGAATGAAGCATCATGCAAAGCACGTGCTGCTGCCACTCCGGCAATTCCACCACCTATCACTATAACTGACGGTGATCTTGCTTGCCTCCTCCCCTCATTTGATGAACACAGAGCTGTTTACAATACATTACATTAATCCCCAAACTAAACAAAAATTAATCATTCATTAATCATTCCACACATTTTATTTGTACTTAATCATTGCCACGGTAGTAAATAAACTAATAATTACCCAATTAATTAGCAAAGATTATTACACATGCAATGCAAAATAAAACACGTGCACTTGCAGATACGGGGCCTACTGGGTTACTGTGCTGCCACTTTCGAAAATTAGGAACCATAAAAAAATATTTAAAAGATCTTAAATTGCAAAAAAAATAAAAATAAAAATCCCCCACCTGCACCGACGACTTTTAGCTCATCAAAACCAAATAAATTAAAAAATAATGAAATAAATTACGAAGGTGAAAAAGGAAGGACGAACCTCCACGTAACTGAGGGCGATTACTCTTGAATCCAGAATCCATTATTGTTGAAAGACGAAGACGATGATCGACAATTAGAATTAGAACTACTACGATTTAAAATGAAGAAATTAAGATTACTACTGATAAGAAGTAACAACAAAGGTTCAATTGATTTGTTCTGGAATTTAAAAAGGGAAGGCGGTAATTGAGGTGAGTAATGAAGAATAAATATCAAAAGACACGTTATGAAATGATTCGAATTCGACGACAGGAAATAATAACCCAGCTTTCCCAACCAGCTCATGCAGAATCTCTTTTCCGATTATACCCCTCTTACTCCTTATCAACCAGATCAGATTTTCTGCGTTTCTTGCAGAACTTGATCGACAGAGATTGAGAGAGGTTCTCGAAATCTGATCTTACTTTGGTAATGAACAGATTGAGAACGCCAGAAAGAGAAGGGGAAACTTCTTCAGAAAGTGGGGAGGATCTTTTTTGGAGATAGAGAGTAGTTTGTTTGGTTGGTGTTTTGGTTTAATGTTGGGTTTGGATTTCAGATTTTATAGACTTTGCGTATCGCAGCTAACCCTGACATTTTCACCTTTTTTTCCTGTGAATAGTTAACCCTGGCCTTCATACGCGCTCGTGTATGAAAAGGCTCTACTCGCTGATATTACAATGACACGTGTTTTATAGGAATGCAGTGGGGCACCTAAGCTGTGAATTTAGCTGCGAATAGAGTTGCCAAATTGGATGTGTTAACGAGAAAAGGAGTGATCGCGTGACCAGAGGGGTAAAAAGTAAAAACAGACCCAAATAGGGGAGTTATTATAAGGTTAGAAAGATTAGATGTGGATTGCGTGTGACGCGTCACTCGAATTTGAAAAGGGGAAACATTTTTAATATGCCTTTTTTTCTATGCTTCTTTGGAAAACGAAACGGGAGGCTTCGTCTCGTATAAGCACTCTCCCTTTTCATCGTCCGCGACAATGGCTGATTTTATTACATTCAATTTAGACCAAACCTGAATTTATATGTCTGGGTCCAATGGGACAAGGGTGAGGTCCAAACTATTATCTCGTGCTACCTGAAACGAAAGCCCAAAAATAACGTAGGGCAACCCACCCTTGCATCCTTTTTATGTTTTCTCCTCTAGCAAGCTTTCTCGCATAAGAGTTAAATTTACTTCTCCTGTTCATTCATCGGCAGATTATCCACATCGGCAAATAACTTGACGACAAGGATTCCATGGTTATAAGAGTCAGCTAGTTTAAGTTGTTAATAAATAATTGCAATTTTGTGTTTAATTTGGGAGTCCCTGAAAATATGTATAAGCATGAAAAATGCAACGTTCACCGTACAAATCTGTCATAGCCCCCCAGAAAAAGAGTTTTTTTATGGGTTGAATGGTTTTCTTACTTCATTCTGGTCATTACAAAGTTGAAGTGCCTCTTATGTTAATTGATCCGTGGAAAATTCAAAAATACCAATCACAACAATTTGAGGCCCGAAACAGGTCCCGGCTCTTGGCCTCCCATTAATTCTCAGCCCAATTCATGATGAAGCAAGTCTGTGGTAAGTCTGGTAACTTACGGCTCGTGTTTTTGCATGACCAGCAAATATTTTCTTATATAATAATATATCGATATGTGCATATCATCATGAAAGATACCAAGTCAATTTGAATTGAATTGAGAATTTTCTTAATTAGGGTTTGAATGGATTGAAGGAGTGATTGGGTTTTTAATTGCAACGGACTATGTTTGTGTGACGGACTGAAAAGCTCTTGCTGGTGGTTTATTGTCTTGGACTAATAGGTCAGTAGTATTGGACTTGATCGGTCGGTGTCCTTAGTGGACTAATGGGTCAGTAGTATTATTACTCATTTTTTGGTTTATATTTGTATTGTACAAAGATACCGTATGAATGAATTGCAATTCTGTCTTCTTCCTTTTTTCTCTGTTTTCCTCTTCCCCTTGTCCTTCTTTCTCCAAAAAAAACATGACAATCCACCACACATATATATATTACAAAAAAAAAATAAAATAAAAAACTAAAACAAAATGATCAAATACTGTTTATTGCATTGTTACTTTACACCAATCCTTTGTTTTGTTTTGCTTTTTTGCCTTTCTTGCCTTCTTATGTTATCTATTTTTAACATCTTCGCCTCGGCCCTGTTTTCGTCTTCACTCTTTTTATTTTCAGCTTCCTATTAAATGTTGTCGTTTTATTTTTGTATTTTTTTCTTCACCTCTCCATTAAATGCTCCTCGTATTTTTGTTGGGTACTTTTGTTCTGGTCTTCGCATTTCATCTAAAACTCTTAACAATTACAGTCACTTCTCCTTCTGCTGGTCCTTCGATCCGCTCAAAATCAATCAATCAATCATTTTTTTAAAATCAATCAATCGTTTCGGTCCTTCACCAAGAACCTAACCCATCAATACCAGAAAATCTGGACGAACGCTCACCGTCCACAACCATAATCAAAATCGGCCGCCCCGAAATTTATACTACGACACCCAAGACAAACTAGTTGCCCGTTAGGCACTACAAAATACTGCATTCACCTCCTTCCTTAAAAGATATGCTGTCAGAAGGATTGTTCGTACAAAATATTTTTTTATATAATAATATATTGATACGTGCAGATCGCCGTGATGGGAACGAAGGCAGTTTAAATTGAATTGGAAATTTTCTCAATTAGAATTTGAATGGATTGAGTTTTTAATTGCAGCAGACTTGTTAGAGTTTGAATGGATTGAAGGAGTGATTGAGTTTTTAATTGCAGCAGACTTGTTAGAGTTTGAATGGATTGAAGGAGTGATTGAGTTTTTAATTGCAGCGGGCTATCTTAGTGTAACGGGCTGGAAGGCTAATGATGACAGTCTAGTGTCTTGGACTAAGAGGTCAGTAGTATTGGGCTTAGCGGGTCACTGTCTTTAGTGATTATTAGACCAATGGATCTGTAGTATGATGATTCATTTTTTGATTTATAGTGTAACAGAATTGTATAAGGGTACCATATAAAGGAATTGCAATTATGTCTTCTTCTTTTCTTCTCTCCTTTCCTCTTCTCTCTGTCCTCGAAAATCTGATATTCCACCGTATCATATATATATATATATATATATATATATATATATATTCAGCAATTGGGCCAATTGAATTGGACCTTAGGTTTGCAAAAACATTGAATATACTTATGTCCGTATATTTTTGGCATTATGATGATTCAAATTTTGGGCCCGATTATTATAATTCCTGTGCCCATATATTTCATGCTCAAGCGGGCTTGATAACCTTTTGTGGTTTGGATACATGGTTATTCTCCGTGGCGGGAAGAGCACGAGTTTGTTTATCTCAAATCACGCTCTATTAGCGAGTGATAAATTATGGGCCGGATATCTAATTCCACTCTATCAAGTTGTTGCTTATCCTCGTTAAAGATGTCATGTCAGGAAGAGAGACATTAATTTGGGCACTGGATTTGGGATTTTGAATGCGTCCACGTGATATTCATTGATTTTTTTTTTTTTTAATTGTTAATTTTGTTCTTGATTGGTTTGTTCCTGTTGAGTCGTTAACTGTTGAAATTAACTCTGTACTGTACATTAACCTTATATTCGATTAGTGGGCCTGAGCTCATATTCCTTAATGTGAATGATTTATTGTTTAACGGAGCCTGTGTTTTTTTTTGAAAAAAAAAATTCATAGGAAAATTAATTTTTGAAAAAATTATTTTTCAAAAACATATTTTCTACAAAAAAATATATTTTAGCATTTTTTTGATACAAAAAACTAAAATACAAAAACATATGTGATTGTTACATCAAAAAGTTTTGAGAAAATTTTAAAAAGATATATTCATAATTTCACAATATAAGATACATTTTAGAAAATTTTAATAAATTTTCATAAATACTGACTCTAAAATTTTAATTAAATAATAAAATGTACTTTTTTAACCATCGAACCAATTCATCAAAATTACTTGGGACGAAATCAAATCAATATTCACATTTAGTAAAAAAAGATTTTAAGTAATCCTAGCATTGTTATTTTGGTAACTCAATTAATTTTTTTTAATTTATAAATTGAACTGATAATTTAGTCTAAAAAATAGTTTTATAAATTATTAGTTATCATTTATATATAATTATTCATTTGGTCTCAAAAAATTAATGTTGGAATAATCTGTAACTAATTATTCATCACAATTATCAACAAAATTTTACAATTGATTAAAATTAAAAATTATTGATTTAATTGTAAATGAATAGTGTTGAAAAAATAATGTATTTATCGATGAATTAATTTTATTTTTTTTTTTACAAAAAATTATTGACTTGTAATAATCATTTTCAATCATTTAAGTATAGTTTAGGTGATATTTGAGATAATAGTAAAAAATAAAAATAAATTATTAAAATATTTATTATAAAAATAATTTTAAGATGTAAAAATGGTTTTTAAAAATATTTAATGTATCTATAAATCAAAAAATTAAATATTAGTAAAAATAGAGAAAAATAATTAAATAATTAATAATAATTGATAAGGAATAGTTAAAAATTAATCCGATATACTTTAAATAAAAAGAAGATAGAGAAAAAATTGTTAAAATATATTGAGAGAAAGAGGTATGTAACGCGAGAGTTATACAGCTACGTGAGAAATAAAATGTTTTCCTTTTTTAAAACTAGGAAAACATTTTTTAAAAAATATTATATCATTTTTCGTTGATTTTTTTTCTAAATACAAAACAAACATTAAAAAATAAAAAAAATAAACTCCTGAAACTTATTTTCCCTCAAACAAATAAAGTCCGAACAAAAAGATGAATTTAATATTATTATGTATTCGGTTATGCGGTGGATTTTATTTTTAAACCACCATTTCTACCATGAGAAAAGTTATTTTTGGACAAAACATCTCCTGACGGGTGGTTCAATCACTATTATTATGGACTGTGTGGCTGAAGTTACCGCACATAATTTATCACATACTTTTTTGTGTATAAAAACTGACTTAATAAATACTATCCGACCATAAAATAAAAAATTGAAAATCGTCCAAAAAAATATATTTTAAAATAGAAAAATTTATTTCAAGAATAAAAATAATTTTGATCTTTGATACTAATTCTTTTATAATATTAAACATGAAAACCGAAAATTTAAGAAGCCATACAATTTTTTTTTTTTTTTTAAGGAAAAGCATATGAAAATTGATGGAAAACAAGCTATCAACCTGATGGGACCTGTTGATGGGAGGGAACCATTTGCTGGTGGTGCATGTGCAACACACCGACCAAACTTTGGAGTGAAACCTGCTGGTTGATGTCACCCAAAGGATAATAATTTCTCACTATCTTAGAAGCATGAAATTCCTACTTTCCTCCATTCCCTAGTGTGCCACTCATCCAATTATTTGTACAGTAAATTCTAATATATCTATAGCACCCACAATTAACTCTCAATCTATTTTTTTTATATAAGAATTTAAAAAATAAAAAATAAAAATGTCAACTTCGTTTACCACTTTTGAAACTTAAGATCGACATTTTTTTTTTGTTTTTTCCCCTATATATTACGATAAATCTCTGAGAACTTCTCTTCTAGAGCTTTTCATTAAAAAATTCCTTATTTCTGTAGCAGGTAATGAAGTTTCTCTGCTACAGTGAAGTCGCTTTCACTTTACTTACTTGGTTCCTTTGTTTGTTTGTTTGTTTGTTTAGAGAGATTTAAATAGTTACGAAAAATCATGTTTTTAATAAATATAGTGTGCATGACGTAATCCAAAGTACATTGATTAAGAATTTATTTGATATTACTGTACTTTTAAAATAGGATTATTTTACACAAAAGATTCCTTTTAGCTGCTGTGTACTCAGATAAATTTTTTTAATAACAAAATTCGAGTCTAGATGATTTTAAAATTTTTTAATGATTATATAATAAAAAAGAATTATCCTAATCGTGTAATCTTTCCATGGACTTCCAATTTTTTTTGAAAAAAAGGTAGACCATTTTCACTTGGTTTGGCTCAAAAAGATGAAAGCCCATTTTGCTTTTGGTTTTGAATCAAAATAGAATATATCATGCTTTTAATTAAAAGTAAGCAGTTATGTCAGAAATAGTTGAAAACAAGTTAGTGACATATCAATAGATTGATCAAGTATCCAGACTTAGTGTTTTTTTAATTTCTAAAGTAGTGACTTACCAATAAGGTTGAATGCGTGTAAATAACAATTTAAAAAAAATGAAAAAAAGAGCATGCAATTCTAACAAGAGGTGGGTCAAATAATAGATAAGTGATAAATAAACGGATAGCCAAAATTCAAATAAATAAAACTTTGGACGGCATTTGATGTTACTTTATATGGCAATGAGAGAACTCTATACGAGAGAGTTTAAAGGTTCAATTAAAAAACACTTAATAAATGGTCGAATTTCCTTCACAATTATAAAAACTTAGTATTTATAGAGAAATAAAAATGATCTCTGATTTTTATAATTGTGTAATATCATCTATATTAAAATGATATGACTTGAACTAGATAAAACGAAATGAGCTTGAAATAAAAATAGACACTTTTAGTTTAAACCGTTTTAACTTGTTAGCAAATATTTTTTTTAAAAAAGATAACAATTGAGAATTTTTTTAAAGAATCTTATTTTGATCTTATAAAATTAATTTCTCTAATATATTTCAAATACAAGATATGTATTTGAATCTGTCACAATATTCATATATTTCCTCACATGACCCAAGTCTAGTATCGAATGCAATTTATTTCTAATTCATTTGGTACGTAGTTTGGACTCATATATAAAAAAAAAAAAACATAAATTAATACATAACTAATTAAATTATATTATTAATTTTAGAAACAAATCGACTTTGTCCAATAATTTATTATGAAATCTACTATTTTCTCAGGTAAAAACAATAATTTTGTAAGAGTGCAGTAAATAATTACCAAATAGTATTTTTATTAATGCTGATTTCAACTCATAAGGCAGCATATTGTAGCTAGGTAGGTCATGATGAGGAGCAACTTGCGAGCGTGACTCAAGTTCTACCAAGTGGCAATGCTATTTAGCAGGAACTTCTGTTGCTTGGGCAACATAAAATTATAATTCAAACATGAATAAAATCGAATTCGAATATATATGTGAAGTCAAAGTAAAACACAGTAAAAACAGGGTAGCATCAATCCCTTACAAACTCAAAAAGGAAACATAAAATACCAGTACTTAAAAAGGAAATATATAATATCAGTACTTATTCTTCAAAAGTCGGAACTTTTCATTCGTCTTTTACTTTCAACTAGAGTGACATTTGATTAAAATGACAAGTACTTCATAATTACAAAAGTAAAACAATTTTATTTGTCTAAAAGAAAACAGAATCTGGTTTATTAATCATAAGAGATTAAGACTCTTCTCCATGAGCAGCAACATCATTTTAGATTGACTGGGCAATCAACAAAAAGATTAAGGACGAAAACAGCGTCAATGATTGGGAAGAATCTATTCTTTAAACCAACTTGGTTATTTCAAATGGGCTGTAAAAGGCAATCGGATTCAAGAGGTGCGAACATGACGAGAAATTGTGTTCATAAAAATAAAAAAAAAAAAAAAAAGGGCGCTTGGCTCCAAAACAATTGGCAAGTTTGCAAAGGCTGGCAGGACCAACATGGAACATCAGTCATTTTCTATCCTCCAGCATCTAGAAAAAGACGGAGAGCAAATATATATGTATATATATACACATATAAAATAAAATGAATGTGTCCACACCACCATCTTCGAATGGCTCCTATTAATGTTTGATATATGCTTAGATCTTGTGGTGGATCCCATGCATTATTTCGTGCCCTCTCTCTGTGTATTAATTGCATCACAACTCGTCTGGGTAAAATAATTTGATTACAAAAGCATAATATGTTGATTTAGAAGTAGCTAGAATCCAGTATCTTTTGTAACATCAAGAAAGAACAGATGAAAAAGAAGTGGCAAGATGTGATGATGCTGAGCGAGAATATCTTAGGAAAGGGATTATATATGGATATGGTGGTGGTGATGCTAGCTTTCTTACACTCCAAATAATGCAATTCCAGCTTGGAGCTAGAAAGTGAAGTACTTCATCTTCTTTATATATAGAGACATCCTTTTTGGTTAAAAAAAGATATTCTAAAAACAAGCACCTATCCGTTAATTTCAAAGACAAATGATTCTTAGATGCTCCAGGCTAGTTGGAATCATGACAATGAAGATAATATATATATGGACTCTTGAAAGAACCAATATCTCATGCTGGAGACCGCAATGACCCTCACGTATGGCAAGCCAAGAAATATATTTAGATCTTTACAAATTCTTAAAAAATATTTAATAAAATCAGCTGGACAACTGATACATGTGCATAACTCTCTCCCCCTCTCTCACACACACATATCTGTGTGCATTTGAGTAATTGTATTTCGTTTTTGTTATAATGTCATGTTATTTTGGCTGGTGTCTCTCGCCTTTATTTCTTTTTTGATAATGATTTTAAAGTTGAGTTTGAAAAACAAAACGAACAACCAATTTTTACAAAACATTAAGCCATATAAGACCACGTGACTGTGCTAGTCAATGCCGTAATTGCTAAAACTAAAGTAAATTTTACAGCTGATTCATATAACTATTGTCTAAGTAAAAAGTATCATTTACTTTTTTTACTCTCGCAATTAAAAATAAAAAATTTTCAGACGTGTTAATCATAAGAATAAATTCCTACTACCACCTAGTGATTTTTTAAAAATAGTTTTCGGAAATATAAGATCGATTCTTTTTTTTTTTTCTCAGCGAATATTTAATTTTTTTTAATTGTTTTATGAATATAAATTTTGAATTTGATTTCATCATATCCATGTGCATCCAAGAAGTTTGAAAAGGAAAGAGAGGAATTGGAAAATTCTCTGTAATAAAGACGAGCCCCACAAGTGATATGTCTAGTCTCAGGGACCATTGACAAAATAGCAAAGTGATATAGATACATGGTATTTAACATCAACTAGTTGTTGGCTATCTTTAATTTTGATACTGCCCCCACTACGCCTCCTTCCATCAACTTGCATCTTGACTCTATACCAAGATAAAAGCATTTGCATGTTTAATGCTATCTTCAAAGAATTATCTTGTTGCCAGATTATGAAAACAACAGCTCAAGTACATATAACTAACAAAATGGATGAAGAGAATATAGATTGTAGATTTATTTCGAATTTAGGATCTTGTTCCTTTTACACCAGTCGACTAATGAGCCTTTAATTTGGTATCTTTCAATCGCCATCTAGCCAATTAATTTTGCATCTTCCCATATTGTAGTTACTGTTTGTGTGCGCATGCATGTTCCTCTGATCAAATATGGCGAACTTAATTTCATTGTGGAGAAGATTACGGCTGGCGTAGTTACAATTTATGAAACAGCATTAACCTGAAGCAGGGCCTTGCTGTGGAGAATTTTGGAGACGGTCGCCTGGACAGACTGCTCTCAGCAGGAGTAGGCCTCGACTGGCATCCTTGTGTGATTGCAAGTCTTGCTAGAAATACTTGTCTCATTGTACCAACAATATAAATATATATATATATATCAATATATATATATTCAATCAAAAATGGCTACAGAACAAGTTTGATGTTTGTTTTAAACCATGTAACAGCTATTTGGGGGATATGTACAAAGAAGATATGATTGCATCTATTTCAGTGGGCGGATGATTGGTGAGAGATTAAATGCTTCATATATCCACCAGGAAGTTGCTTCCACCGCACTGCAATGGTCCTAATTTATGCATCCAGGGGACCATAAACACCTGATCGGAATGCATATTCACCGGTTAACCTGTTCACATCAACAAGAAAAACGCTGTCAGATCAATTTTAAATGATGGGGCCACTTGTGGCATTACAATTTTTTTCCCCTTTCAGCTCCACGAGAAGCCATTCGGACGCTGAGCTGCTGAGGATGGCTCTTCGTCATCTCCGGTGTGGGACAAGTTTGAACGCAGATCACTTGGCACTCGCCAAATGACTTTACTATCTAAGCTAAGCACTAAGCAGCATCTACTCGTATCAACAAGTAAAACTAGAAAACATGCAATGGAAAAAAGGCATGTGAAAAAGGGACACGCTATATAAAGCGCACAGTTTTTTTGTCCTGGGGCTATGTATGGCTAGAAAGGGAAATTAGTGGAAGCCATGAAAAGCGACACTAAATACAGCCCATATTTAGCCTAGCATATGACTGTAAGTAGTGCTGAGTGACAGGAAAAGAATTTTGTGGCTAACCTCCTACAAGTAGGTTTTAGACCATTCGTTGTTTGAAAGCATGACAAATTTAGATAAGCCAGTCATTGGCTGAATTTGTTTCTTTCAAATCAAATAAATGCCCTCAAGTTGGATCACTATCAACTACTTGAGGAAGCCAAATATGCCCAAACAAATACACCATATCGGCTGGTGTCAAGGCAATTCTTCATCTAGAAATTCAACACTCTGGGACGTTCAAGTAAAAAGAACTATTTTCCCTGGAAGGTAAAGAGAACAGAAAGTCTTACCCATCTTGCCACTTGGAGGAGCATCATTGACTGCAGTTCCAGTACTCAAGGGTCCACCACCACTGCTTGGTTGTGCCATCATTTGATTCTGCTGTACTGTTTGCGGGCCAAACCGGAACATATTCATGGGCTGCAAAACCAAAACCAATGCACCAACACCATTATCACTAAACTATTTTATGATTAAGAGATCATAAAGCAATTTACATTACCGAAAAGCCATAAGATCGACACAGAGATTATCTCATGAAACGAGGTGCAATGTAGAACCTGAGATGCGGCTTGCATGTGAAAGCCCATGAAACGTGCATACTGGTCAGAGAATGCAGGATTTTGCATCTGATTTTGATAATTAACTGGATTCAACACTGGATTTTGGCAAATTACTGCCTGGTTCTGTGATTGATCAACGAGTGGGACCCTAGGCAAATGCATGGGATTTTGCATAGAAGGCAAAGGAGGCGGACCCATTCCCATTCCCATTCCCATGCGAGACATGAAATGCTGCATTCCTGGAAACACCACAGGGGCCATCCCACTTCCCATCCACATTACCTGAAACACCTAGAAAAAGTTGTCAGTGGCTTGAATTGAATTAACGAAGAATCATAAGCTCAAACTTTGATTTTACAACATTCGGTACCACACCTGAAGTTGTAATTGAAGTGACTTCAAGTACTCAATTGCCTCATCCAGCATTGATGCTTTATCTGTCTGCAACATTAGGACTAAACTTGAGAGAAGGAACATTTTGCATGTAAGAGAAAAAGTTTGGAGCAGAATGAGCTCAGTGTTTTACTCTGTAATGGAATAATTCAATTAAAAAGCGCTCGGTTGAACTCGACTATTATTTAGGCTAAACGCCAAGGAAATCTTGGACAACTCTTATGCCACTATCTTTGGTCATATACTCTCAAAAAGCAAAAGTGATCATTCCCTTTGTTTCACATCGTGGGTTTTCTCTCATCTACAGCTACTTTTCCCACAAATGCTCATTTCCAATTCTATCCATTAATCACTTGCCACAAATCAGTCTTAAACTTCGTTTCTTTATTCAATCATTATTTCATAAATATGACAAGCTTTTTCTTCCGAACACTGCGTACAGTTGTAAAAGTTTTGGGCCAACCACAGGTGATTAGATAAAAAAAGTGTCTTAGACGTGCAGAGATAAATATTTTAACTTGAACTAAAAAGATCAGAAAAGATGACCTTGTTGCAGTGAGGTATGAGCTCTTGCAATGCTTTCATCTTCTCGTTAATTCTATCCCTCCGTCTCTGCATATAAATGGGCAACAGTTGAGTAAATAATTAAACAATCTTGAATCTTGAAATGTAAAGAGATCAAGTATCCGTACCCTTTCTGAGAGGTTATGAACTTCAGCAGCACGGCTCCTGCGGATAGATCCTGATCGTTTGGCTGGCTTGTTTCCTGCAGCTGAATCAAGCTCGGCAGCCTGTATCATTCATAATTTATGTTCATCATACAATGTTTAACAAATTTACAACCAGATGGCGAGGGAATTTGTGTTTTCACCTCACTTTGGCACTCAGAATCCTCTGCGTCCATGGTCTTTCTTTTCTGGCTACTACTAGGTCCCGCAGATTGTTTACATGGTCTACCAAAACTACTACCTGATCCACCTGAGGATGAAGTTAGAGTAGCCTCAAGTGTCTCAGTTTTGCCTCTCTCATTCTGGGAGACTGTTTTTCGAGGATCATCCATGGAGTGTCCAGCAGACAAGCCCGTACTAGTCCCAACAGCATTACTAGAAGCACGGTTCACATCACGATCGTGTGGAATTTGGTTGCTTGACCCTACTGTCACCACTGAGCACTCCCTTCCCTCTCCTTGTGAAAAATTCCCAGACCCCTGTCCTCCAAATTGTCGACTTGAAGATCTAAAATCACCTCCTTTAAAGGGAGCAGAGAACTGAGAAAAGTTAGCATTAACAGCTTTACCAAACCCTGCTCCGCTAGTATGCCTTTTGTCCAGGACTTGAATTCTTGGAGGAGGCATTGGATTTCCAGACAATTCAGCAACCACGGGATGTTTATTGTTGAGTTGTTGTTGATACTGATGCTGATACTGTTGTTGTGAACTCGCCAAGGCATCAAATTTAGCAGACTTTTCTTCCAAAATTTGATCAGGGAATGGTGATGGCAGTTCGGAGAAAAAATTGGAACAGAACTCCTTTCCAGAGTAATCTTCAAGAGGGTATTGAATCCAAGACACTGTCTCATCATCTTGAATCAAATGACTTGAATTCGGAACCGACCCACTGTCCCTTACTGCTGGTAAATCATGTTTTTGAACATGAGGATTTGGTTTTCTGTGTGCTTGGCTGTGCAGAACTACCTGCCCATTTCGCCATAGCAGCTCTACTAGGTCATTGTCTTGCCTGCAAAGGTAAAAAATGGGGCAACCAATATCAAGAACCTTTACAAAGATGAATGCCTTAAAGATCAAATTATCAAAATTTAGAGAAAGTACAGACTCTATTGGCTTCTTCTGATTGGAGACAGGAAGATCACCCTCAAAATTCCAATCAGGAATACATTGATTCATGGCTGAGAAGACACAGATATCCTGTTAAACACAGTACAAAAGAGAAAGTTTAAAATATTTGACAAAAGTATTAATAATTATTATCAGTCATAACTGGGATGATCCTCTGTGTCATTATCTAAGTCTTATAAAGTAGTCAGAGACAAAAACACACGAGGTTAAACCATTTAACACACAATTAGTAAATTAATTGACTTCTTAATAAAATAAACATGAAATGGAATTAAATAATATCAAGAAGTGTATATCATAAAGACAGGCCGAAAGAAAAGAAGCAACAAAATGAAGCACCCTACTTGAAAGAAGAAGACGTGAAAACAAAACAAAAGCAGCACCAATTAAAGACAGAAGCTTTGGAAAACAAGTTTCATTGGAGAATCCTCAAGAAAACAAGAGGGTGCAGTCTTTTGAAGAAGAACCAAAGAAACCCAATTACTCAAAAACCAAAACACCCCACAAAAGTTTTGTCAAAAAAAAAAAAAAAAAGGAAGAAAATTGACAGAGAAGAAGATAAAGAAAAAGAAAGAACATTCTCCTGGACTGCAAGAGAAACCAAGCAAAAAGAATCAAACAAAGTGGACTTTAAAAAGTACTCCTATTCCACAAGTGGGAAAGATATGGTAAATGAAATCAAAGCAAACCTGACCAAACTTCCCTTGTAAAACAAACTGAACCACTTCAACTTCCAATCTCTAAAAAGCTGTGAAATGGGTGTAATGAGAAATTTGAGAAAGGACTGGACCCAGAGAGAGAGATAGAGAGAGAGGAGTGAAGAGGCTCTGTTTTCAACTCCCAGTTAGAAAGACAAGAACATGGCGCAGACTCATAATGTTGAGCGTCTGAAATTTGAGGGAAAGATTCTGTGGTGGCACAACTCATTTTTTTAATCTGCAGTTACTTACACTGTTGTACACGTGGCAAGTGATCAGTGAGTTAGTTTCTTTAGTGTGGGCCAGTGGGGTGAGAAATAAGAACTGGTTGGAAATTTGGCTGACTGGAAAATTGGTTTTTTTGGTTTTTTAATTTTGCAGTTTACCGGGGGTTAGGAAATCTAAAACTACAAGGGCAGAGAGGGAGGAATCTGAACGTGTAAAGAAGAACTGCCACGTGGACTGAATGGATTTATTGATGAGGACAAGACTGTCAGAACACTGATTTTTACAACTCATCGATAGAGTGGCTGGTTGGGTTTAGATTAGATGTGTTGTGTATCGTATTGGCCTTGTTGGATGGAACCACTCTCTTCCTATCTCATCATAAATTTGGTATTACATCTTTTTCTCTCTAGTTTTTCTTTACATCTTAAAACAAAAAAAAATTCTTTTATTTTTTTTATAATTCTTCAATATATTATAGATCATTATTTTGTTCTTTTAATTTGCAGTTCAGGGGCACCTTCATACATTGATAAAATTTATTTTTCAAATATAGGAGGAAAAAATAGGTTTTTTCTTTCTTTTTGTCCGTACTAAAACAATTATGATTAATAACACTAACATATACCCATTTATAAACCTCGCATATCTTCGGTTTTTTTAAAAGATTTATGTTTTATAAATCATCATGTTGCAATTATAATTATTTTTATTTTTTGGTTTTATCTTCACTTTTTTGAGAAATATTTATGTTTTTATCTTAACAGAATATGAGATATTTTTACTTTGATTCATCGAGAAGTTTAAAGGGTTTTGAACCGTAAAATATCGATAAATTTATCTTATTATATAAATAGTTAAAGAAATTGAAGTCATGACTCAGAAACGAAACAAAGGATATATATACATATATGTTTAGCCGTTGTGTGATATTGTATTATGTGATTTCCAAATAAAACCAATAAATACTATGAGGATCTTAGGATATGGCCAGAACAACCTCCTGAATGGAGTGAGTTTTGTTTCTATCCAAGATAACGTGTCAAATGTCGTTTTTTAATGGGAAAAAAAGAGGGGGGGGGGGGTGTGGGGAATGACACCAACACCAGCAGATTAAATGTTTAAATTGAGTAAAGAATGTATTGAAAAATTTAGAAACGTTTCTTTTAAAATCTATAAATGGGGTTTCTCACTTCCTTATTAATCATGTTATAAGTAAAAGTAATAAAATTTAATTTTTTTCAATAAATATAATTATAAGATTCGAATTTTATATATTTATAAAAAATTAATTTAAAAACAACTTGTTTATTTGTGTACCAACGACTTATTATTAGTTTTTTTTTATTTTCACACTAGAAGAAAAACGATGACAATGAACTTCTATTATTATTTTTTATCTTATTAGTTTCACATACAGCAAGTTTTTCAAACTAAAAAGTTGTAAATTTTCAAATTTTTTTTAAAAAAAAAACAGAAAAAAATTATCTCAAAGATAATATGATGGAGGGCACTATTCTTTTTTAACTAATGTCACATCATGTTCTTAAAGTGACAACGCGAAGACAACCATGCAATATGAAAATTACGACTGTACCACTACCACCTTCAACTTTGAGTAGGTTATAAATTCATCTCTATCATTTTAAGAAATAAATTAATTATTTTTTTTGTTTTAAAAATTAATCATATAGCCTTCATGTTTTGAAATCCTCTTATGATTTCATTATTATTTTTTAATATATTTTAATTTTTTTTTCAAGAAATTGAAAAGGTAAAAATGAAAAGAATCATGAAAAATAAAAAGTTTTATAAAATAAAAATAATATTAAATTAAATATATTCAATACTTTAAATAATAATTTTTAAAATAAGATAGAACAATTAATTTGTTTCTTAAAACTAAAAAAACTAATTTATAATTTACTCCTTCAGCTTCCAACATGGTACATAGAACAAAAAACGGGAAAAAAACATTACGCATATTCTGCTTTTTGGCAGGCCTCATACTTCTTGTATTGTTTTTTTATTATTATTTTTTGAATTCTGTATCTTCCTTAATTCATCAAAATTAAAAATTTATCTCAACAAGTATTATTTTTCATTGTATGAATCATTATTTTTTTTTATTTTTATTAATATCATTGATTATCTTTTTTTTATTGAATAGTTCAATTTAAATTCAAATAAATTATATTTAATTAGTTGAAACTACAAATATTCAATTGACCGAATGAATATTTTTTAAGAATGGATGAAAACACAAAATACAAATAACAAGTTTAAATTGTTTAATTTTAAAACCATGGTTCCATGTTAATAAATTAGCATTAGTTAAGACGGTGATGTGTAGTTGTAATAGCAAACAATGAACTTTAACTCTGTTCCAAATTGTCCCTGAACTAAAAATTTCTCAAAAAGTTCACTCCAAACTTATTTTAATTGAAACATGGTCCTTCCATTTGTCTAAGAGCCTAGTAAAATTATTATGTTAATTCTGACTATCGATGATTTATAATGCTAAAAAAATCATCTCTTCATCTACCATTTCTTACTCTTCATCCTTTATTCATTTTTCCCCTCTCGTTAAAGCAGACGGTAATCAAACTTTATTCTATTAGAATTAAAAAATCATATTAAATCCAACTCCATAAATCCTTTTCAATTCACTGAAAACAAATAAAATTGCAATCCAAATACATTTCTTTCAATTCTCGACCATTGATGATTAAAAAAAGAATAATGTCTTTTGTTTGTAAATAAAACTGATTTCTTAAAATCGTTTTTTTTTTTTTAATGCAAAGTCAAAACAGAGGTCAAATGAAACACAAGTCCTCCCGTTTTTTTTTTTTTTTTTGTCTAATAGTAACAGTGACCCCACGTACCTCTCTGCTATTTCAAATTACCCCTGGTCTTATTCGAAAATGCCACCCTCCTTGCCTATCTTCCTATGTAATTTGTCCATTAACTGTTTCTCTCATGCACACACCCTGCGAGATTTGATTAATCTTATGCCACAAGAAGCGGCTTAGTGCAAAAAATTTTGGATTTCCAACTAGAAGTTTCAGGTTTATATTCACGTTTTATATCTCTTTTATGACCGCCACAAAATTTATGTTTTTTTTTATTTTTTTATTATAAGAATACAAAAGGCTTGAAATTTTCGGATTTAGGATCAGTTCTTGTCCACCAAAAAAATGGCCGAGGACAATCAATTCATCAATTAACCAAAAAAAAAAAAAAAAAAAACTCTTTTTCTTTGTATTTATCCCTCACATTAAAATGGATTCCACAAGTACTTATTGGTACTTGGCAGCAGCACCAAAAAATTTCTCCCATCAAACACTGTTCGACAGGAAATCTACATTCATCATGGATTTGAACATATAGAAGATTCAATTAAGTTTACCCTGAAGATTATTACAGACTGTAACAACTGTAATAGAGAAGTCTGTTTTTATGTTTTACAGTTAATTAAGCAACTTATGAGAAGGAATTTTATTTCCCTATTGTTTGGGCAAAACCTAGAGGTATTATATCCAATGACAAGGAACGCAGCTCGTTGATCTCTTCACTGGTGAGTCTCCAACCAAGTGCACCAGCAAATTCCTCGGCCTGTTGGGCATTTTTGGCCCCTGGGATTGGAAGGACATTTTCTTGTGCAAGCAGCCAGTTCAAGATTACCTATATAGATCAAAACTTCACTTAAAGAAGTATCTGTATGTTTTATCTTCTAATTTGGAGTTATTCGTGCTTCTACAGACAAAAACCCTCACCTGTGTGTTAGTTTTACCGTAGCTCTGTCCTATATCTTTGATTCTGTTTAGCAGAGGTTGAAGCTGCAGAATGCAAGAATGCTTCAGGTTCATAGGTGGGATTTGATGATAATAGTAAATTTTATAAATTTGAAGTTCCTACCTTCGTTAGAAACTCGGGAGTGTAAATCTTGCCTCGAGGACCAGATGGTGGATTTTCTGGTGTATACTTTCCCGTAAGAACGCCTGCATAATTTCCAAAGGATTATCTATCACTCCTCACCACAAACAATAATGCTAGTTACATAAAATGTTTTATAAAAAAAATTGTGATTAAGCGGGCCTAATTGCTTCAATGGCCGGAAGGCCAACTAGATTTTTTCAACTGTGTAAGATATGTAACACCAAAGTGAAATCATAGAGCATGAAACAGGTACCATGAGATAAGAAGCTCACCTTGAGCCATGGGGGAATATGCAATCAAAGTAACCCCAAGTTCGTCACAGGCAGCCTTGACACCGTTTTCCTCAGGCTGCCTGTATATAAGGCTGTAATTTACTTGGTTTGCAGCCAGTGGAATACCCCTTTTCTTAAGCTTCTTGTAAGCATCACGAAGACTTCTCTCTGAATTTAGGAATTAAAAGTGTCTCGTCATAATTGAAAATTAAAAGAGGAAAAACCCAAAACTCTTCCAAGTCATGTTCAATTAGAAATCGACTGCATGTTACGTGCATGTGATACTTTTTTGTTTAGGGACATAATCAGATATATCGAATTCAGAAACCTTTTTTCACAGTTCAAACTGCTGGAGTTAGGAAATTACCATCGTAGTTTGAAACACCAACAGCCTTCACAAGTCCCTGTTCAACAGCATCTCCAAGACCATCAATATACCCTGAAAATGAACTTTTATTGAGCTAAGCTTCTTCAGAGTCCAAATAAGATTGAGTTGTATATATAAGAATTCAATTCTACTGTCTATGTGCAGTCAGGAATGACGCTTGGTTGATTATGAGTGCGTTTAGATAAATGAAAGTCATTTTCTCAATGAATAATGGTGCAACAAATGAGCCACCTTCATTTCCCCATATTCCAGGCCTGAAGACGAGCACAAAAATTTGATCAGCAACATGTCTTGCCAAAAAGCTGCAGACTCAAATAACAAATAACCAGGTAAACTGCATACCAATGGAGTTGGTAGAGCTCTACCGAAGAGAGTCCAAGGCGAGAGAGGGAATCCTTAAGGGCTTTTAGAACACTCTGACGTCCCAGCCTCCAAGGCAAAGCTGCAAACTTGGTTGCAACAGCTACCTCCACTGCAGGATCATTTTCTTTCCTTTCCTTGATAAAACTAGAAGAAACCATTGAAGTCAGATCATACAAAAATAAGCTGAAAACCATTTGCAATGAATGGTTATAATTAAATTCCAGCAGAGTACCTTCCTAGAAGAGTTTCAGAGTTGACAGCACCTCTTAAGAGCTGCAGAATACATAATGATAACGTTTTCAGATCCACAAGTTTTTCATGTTTGTTTAGCGAGAAAAAGTAAAACTGAATAACATGGACGCCTCACCCAAGAACCATAAACTTCAGCAGTATCAAACAAAGTTATGCCGCCATCAATACTGACATCAAAAGCCGACTTAGCAGCCTTCGTTTTCTTATCTGCCACCATTGCAAAGCGGCGTCAGAAAAGAAAGATAACACGCATCATATATAAGATATCAAACTGGGATCATCAGTTTGAAATCAGCAAATAAATACAAACAAACAATTTCTACATGTCTCCGTAACTTTATTGAACAACAATCCATAACTTTTTCTACAGAGACATAATCTGTTACAAGATACAGTAATCAGTAATCTAAAATAAAATTACAAGTAATTGACTATGAAGAGAATATATGTTAATTTGGCTTGATAAACAAACTAAAGGTTTCATTTTCATCACATAAGTTACTGAAGTCTGCAAAGCAATAAAAAAACATAATATTTTAACAGAAACATATATAATTGAAAGTAAGGTACCAAATTGACCTTTTTATCTAGTCTAATTTGATCTAATATTTTGTAGCATGATAATTACCATCCCACTCAGAGTTGTTCCAGTAGCCTGTGTCGCCCCAAGACCAAGCCCCAAGTCCAAGCCTTGACACCTTCAAATCAGACCCACCCAACTTCACCGTGTCTCCCTCTGTTTTTGAAACAGCAAAATCCTTGGAAGCAACAGCCCTCACTCTATGGACTGATCTCCTAGTACTTACAAGACAGTAACTTGTACTAATCACATGCATCGCCGTAGCCATAACTGTGGGTTTTCGTTAATATTCAAGACGGTAGGATTTGAACTTAAATAAGTATGGAAAACTTCAGACTCAATTTCTCCTAAAAGAAGTTTGGTAGAACCAAAAGTCGGGAGTAGCTGTCAGTAGAGCAGAAGTAACCAAATCGAGCTTGGTTAATAACAAAGCGAAAATTGCATCACGTGACTACGTGTCTGATATTTTCTTGGACTGGCTAATAATTTTGTGGAAGAGAAGAGCGTCGTACTTTAAACGTGGTCCTAAAAATTTTACACGTTTAGAGAAGTACTATAATTTCGACTAAAAAAAGAAGAAAGAAGTACTATAATTATTTGGCATCAGGGAATCGTTTCAAATGGTTTGATTGGCTGGGGTTGGATTGAGAAATGATACGATCGACAAGTGTAAATTTTTTAGGAGGGCACATTCTGTGCACGAGAAAATTATAAATTCGTCTCTCTAGTTTTTCAAAACTAATTAAAAAATCTTTGTATTTCAAAACATAATAATGTCTATCAACTAATATTCATCATAATTAATTTAATATTATTTTATTTTTAATATTATCTTTTTCGTCCATCGTTCTATATAGTTTTTTTTTATTTTTCTATTTATTAAAACAAAAAAATAAAAAAAGATTAAATTATAAATAGATTTAAAGATATAGGACTAGTTAATTTAGTTATTAAAACTAAAAGTATTGTTTAATTCTTTTTGAAAAACTAGAAGAACTAATTTATAATATATTCTAATATGCACATGCTATTACTCTTAAATTTGAAACCAACCTTTCCTCAGAATAGATTATGAATTAGTCCCTCTTGTTATGAAAAACAAACTAATTAATTTTTTTAGCTTCAAAAAAAATTATTTAGTCATTTTAATTAAATAGTGTTGATCAAGACTAATTTAAAATTTTTTATTTTATAAAATATCTTCTTTTCTCATAAATCTTTTCATATTTTTACATTTTTTTAATTTATTTTTTATTTCCTAAAATAAAAAATCAAAATAAATTAAAAGACTAAATAATTATCTTTTGAAACCAAATACATTAATTAATTAGTTTCTTGAAGCACGCGGGACTAATTTATAGTTTACTCCCTTTCCTCGTGTTCCCTGTACCTAACAAAAAAAAACAGATCACATTACATAAATTTCTTATTTTAAATGTTTCCTTTTTATGGACTCGGCTCCCTTCAAATTAGGAAAAATAGAATCTATTACATTAGGTAAATCCATACGATTGATTTTGAAATCAATGATTTGGATTGTATTTTTTCTTATAGAAAAAAATTAATTACCAATTTTTAGAGGATTCTTACCATCTATTAACGTGGTGAAATGAAATCCTAAATATTAATTTTAAAATCAATAATTTAGATTTACTTAACATAATAGATATCATTTTACCTTTTAATTTGAGGAAAGCCTTATCCCATTCTTATATGTACTGATTGATTTTTATTCAAAAGTTTAGTATTATAGATAGATGTGCTGATTGATTTTTATTCAAAAAGTTTAGTATTATAGATAGATCGTCGTATTTGAGTCTAACTGCTAAAATTAAGGAATTTACTATAAAATACATTAATTCTAACTTAATTCTGAAATCGAAGAGTGATAAAAACGATAAAGAGCATATTCACCAACTCATTACGGGTATTTAAATTCTGGTATTTACGGATCAAACCATATACACATGCGAGGCTAATTACTTAAGAGGCTAAGTCCAATCGTAATTGAACGAAAATATGCTAATCCTTTTAGATATTTTACCCTCCCGGGAGGGAGGTTCCCGACTCCTCCGTCCCTTGCCCCTTCAGGGGTAGATATTCTCGTCTTTTTCTGCGCCAATCTTTTCTCCTCTTTCAGATTATATGCCCTTTTTCTTTTTCTGATTTGGAGGCAAATTTTACCACCATTTTATAGTCATTTGATAATTTAAAACATATAATATCAAATCATACAATTTGAATTTTAAAGTATCAAAAATTTGATAAATGTGATCCAAATGATCTAATTTTCGTTATGTGTAACGATTAACTTAATCGTTATTTAAAATATCAAAACGACGTCGTTTTAGTATTTCGTTGTTAATTATGTTTTTTTTAAATGTTTTTAATTTCTTAATTTTGATTTTTTAAAAAAAAATTTTTATAAAATATTATAAATATTTTTAACCCTCTTAATTTTGAACTTTTTTTTAAACTTTTTTTAATATTATAAAAATTTTATAAATTTTTTTTAATAAATTTATAAAATTAGGGGTCAACTCTTAATTATGCTTATTTTAATTTATAATTTTTTTAAGGCTTGAAATTGTGTATTGTTAATTATGTTTTTTTTTACAATAACATTTTATAATTTTTTTTAAAGTTCAAAATTAGAGGGTTAAAAATATTTATAAAATATTTTTTATATATAATTTATAAGAAAAAAGTTTTAACAAAAAAAGTTCAAGACTAGAGGGCTTAAAAAAAATTTTTAAATGTTTTTTTTAAAAAAAACATAATTAACGACGGAATGCCAATACGACGTCGTTTTAACATTTCAAATAATAGTCAACCAAATTGACTATTACATATAACCGAGATTGAACAATTTGGATCACATTTGTTTAATCTCTAATAATTTAAGAGATCAAATTATACAATTTGATATTATGGATCCGAAATTGCTAAATCGTAATAAAATGAAGGCAAAATTTGTCATTAAATCATTTTTGTCTTGGAGAGAAAAATATGCCACTTCTTCTTCTTCTCCACATAAATAAATAGTAATAATAATAATGACAACTAGTTTGTTAAAACTTTGGGTGATCTATGTTTCTTATAATATATATATATTTTTTTGTTCAACAATAAGGATGTTCTCGAATTAGTTTTCATGCACCTTTAAACTAATCTATTTCTGGATTTGGCTAAGTTGTCCTCTTCAATGCACGGCCTTGAATATTCCGATAATAAATTTTCAAAAATATTGCATACAAGAATCAAACACTAGACTCGACCTACAAATCAACGCTTATCAAGAGACAAACACCTTATGGTTATTTCTTATAATGATTTAGTGTCTCATTATGATCTTATTGATAGCAGGAAGACAAGTGTTATGATTTTTTTTTCTTTATTGCAAACAAGAGTTGCAAAAGAAGATTATTTCAAATAAAATAGTTTTTTTTTCCTTACAGAGTTAATTAGTCCCATCACTTTATAAATACATTTTACATTTATGCATAATTTATGTTTTCTTTTGTGATTACACATATCACCTTTCCTTTATTGTCTTTTAGATTTTTTTTAAAAAATAGTTAGATCCGTACCCTTAGCCAACTTTCATTTATTTAAAAATTCATCTTGCCAGCTCAGGTGAAAAAAAAAAAAAAACCGAGAACACATCAGCCATCACCTTAACCACCTTACCTCATCCATGAAGGACTAACCTATTTGATAAGTGGGCTCAATCGTCATCTTTCAAAAATTCGAATTCTAGAAAATCATAAAAAAATCATTCGTATAAATACACAAAAATACGAATGTTGATGACTTGCTTAAGACTCAAAACGGAAAAGAACTTGGTTTCGAAGATTAGGTTGAGAAATCCTTACCATACCATAAAACGATTATATATTTTGCTAATCCTCATCGTAAAAAAAAAAACAAAAATCTTGAAAGAACATTGATATATATGTAAATAAATAAATAAGCAAAATTACCAAAAAAGAAAAAAAATTAAATAACGCCTAGCATCACCACACAAAAATTTAGGACCAAAAAGGTAGGAGGTTGAAGCTGTACTATAGCCTACAAGGTTAGCAACCAACAACCAAAGACCAGGACAAAACTTTGGGACCAACCGTCAATGATCCATCAAAAAAAAAAGCGACAAATTAAAGCATGTAGGGCAACGTTCGAACACCAAGACAAATACAATACACAAGCAAATCATAAGAAGGATATCCACAAATCCCTACAAGCATTTTCCTATCAATCGGAAGGTGCCAGTGGCAGCCAGAGACACATGGAACTCTGCATCGGTATTGGACCTCCGCGAACCTACACAAACCTAAAATGTTGAGTTATGAGTTCCTTGTGCATAAACACATTAATTTTTTCGCTCCTAATCTATGTGAGATGTACCACTCAAATGCACGACCAACATAAGACAAGGACATCATGACAAGAACTGACACAAAATTTGAAATTCGAATCCCACGAGTAGAAGGAAACTCTAATTGAATACCACACGGAAACAGGGACTCGATGGAAAGCATGCACCGTTTGCCAATTAGACGCCCTACAAAGGCCCTCTTTTGCCAACAATTATCACTCCTATAAGTTAAACCATCAGTTTATTTACTTCAAAAATTATAGTACAAGCACTGAATAAAAAAAGAGTAATCTGTTTCTTCAGATTTGTAACTTGTGGTATCTGATCTGATTTTACTTTTCCTAATACTTGTGCTGTTGTGCAAATTTACAACTTCTCAACAGGGAAACCAACTACAGGTTTGATCTCCAATGCCAAGGAGCGCAGCTCATCGATCTCTTCACTGTTGAGTCTCCAACCAAGTGCACCAGCGAATTCCTCAGCCTGTTCAGCATTCTTGGCCCCTGGGATTGGAACGACATTCTCCTGGGCTACTAGCCAGTTCAGCACCACCTTTACAGATCAAAATCTTACTTGAAAATTTAAGCATTCATCTTTTTGCTAAATTAGTGTTGATTGTGACTAAGCAAGAATTAAGTCGCTTCTACTTAACAAGATTGAAAGAAAAAAGAACAAGTTAAAAGATTAAAAGAACAAGGATGAACCTGTGTGTTAGTTTTACTGTAGTTCTCTCCTATTTCTTTGATTCTGTTCAACAGAGGTTGGAGCTGCAGAAATCAAAGATGCTTCAGCCATAAAGTTGGGATTTAATGATGATATTTTTTTAACTTTATGATCTACCTTCGTTAGAAACTCGGGAGTGTAAATCCGGCCTCGAGGACCGGTTGGTGGATTTTCTGGTGTATACTTTCCTGTAAGAACACCTGCATAAGTTCCAAACGTTTATTACTTCTCACCAAAAACAAAGATAAACAACGAAAAAATTATAGTCTTGAAATTGTGGCTGATAAGCAGCTTAATTGTTTTGATGAAGAACAAAGGATTTTTGGACCCTTCTAAGCATTTCAGCCTTGATATCCATGATCCCGTGAACTAGCAATCAAAATCAAATTAGATCACTTTTGAATTTTGTCTTTAAAAGCTGAACTAATTAACTTTTAAGCATAATAGGCCACTCAAATGAATGATTGACTTTTCTTGTGAACCAAAGCACTTTTAGTGACTTGCAGGACAACAGTGGCCGCAGCTAAATTGCACACTGACCAATTATACAAATTTATACAAATGGATTTCCACCTATATCTGAATTAAGAATGGCTTTAATATTAGAACAGTCAAGATGATTTAATTCTAGCACTCACACAATCAGAAAGTTCATCTGCTTATGGACTGAGTGACAATTCTATTCTGAAATTAGAGGTTACCTGCTTTAATACATGAGCGAGAGCATTGAGCATTGTCATGACAAAGGGGCTCAGCAACTGAAAAACTACCTCAGCAACGAAAAAACTACTTTTTTTTTTTTTTTTTGTTGAACGTTAGCATTGGCTTGTGTGAGTGGCTATGCAAGAAAGGAAGAAAAAAGAGTTTAAAAAGGAATGAATATAGGCCTATTATGCCCACCATGTAGTTTGACTATCTTAGGTCTTAAACCTGCAATTTCTTAGTCATGGCTGGAAGACAGAAAATTCTCACCATTTTATGTATAGCACCCAGGTGAAAAGTTTAGAACATGAAACAACTATAGAAACCTCACCTTGAGCAATGGGAGAATATGCAATCAAAGTGACCCCAAGTTCATCACAGGCCGCCTTCACACCATTCTCCTCAGGTGCCCTGTATATAAGGCTGTAATTCACTTGATTTGAAGCCAGTGGAATACCTCTTTTCTTAAGCCTCTCGTAAGCATCACGAAGTCGGCTCTCTGAATTAAGGGATTAATATCTCATTATATATAAGTTAAGGAGAAGTAACCTAAGACTGCAAGTACTGATGTTCAATTAAAGATTAGCCGTATGGTAAGTGCTTTCAGTACAGTTTGCAAAGGTGGTTAGGAAGCAAATTCTAAAATTCCTTTCCACAGTTCACTACTGGAATTAGGAGCTTACCACTATAATTTGAAACACCAACAGCCTTCACAAGGCCCTTCTCAACAGCATCCCCAAGACCATCAATATATCCTGAAAATGAACTTTCAATGAACTAAGTTCCTTCTGAATCTGGATGTGATTGAGTTCTATCAAAATTATAGAATACTAGCTATATGCAATCACGAATGAGACTTAGTTGAGTTGAATTTGAGTGTGATTAGCTAAATGCAGTCAAGTGCTGAATGAAACAATGTTGTAACAGATGAGCGACCTTCATTTCCCCATATTCCAGGCCTGGAGACCAGTACAAAAATTTTATGAGTGGCATGTTTTTGTCAAAAAAGCTGCAGACTGAAATCACATAGCCTGGTAAAGTGCATACCAATGTAGTTGATATAGCTCTACTGAAGAAAGTTCAAGGCGGTTGAGGGAATCCTTAAGGGCATTTAGAACACTCTGACGTCCCAGCCTCCATGGCAAAGCTGCATACTTGGTTGCAACAGCTATCTCCACTTCAGGATCTTTTACTTTCCTTTCCTTGACAAATCTTTAAGCAACCAATGAATTTCGGATGATGAGTAAAATAAGCTGAATGCTATAGCAGATGGACATCATAACTCAATTCAATAGTGTACCTTCCTAGAAGAGTTTCGGAATTTATGGCACCAAATGCGAACTGCCAAATACAAAATGATGTTCGTTAGTTTCCCATTGCTGTTTAGTGAGAAGAAATTGAAAATAACATCCACTTCTCACCCTAGATCCATAAACTTCAGCGGTATCAAAGAAAGTTATACCGCAATCAACACTTGTATCAAAAGCTGCTTTGGCAGCTTTCATTTTCCTATCTGCCAAAATTACAAAGCAGAAGGAAACGTTTAACATAATTAATGAAGAAGAAATTTTTACAAGAATTTAATTACAAACACAAACATATAGAGCACTTGTGGAGCAACTAAAACGACAGGCCATAAAATTTAACACGCATTATCTGTAAATGTAAGAACTATGATGTCAAAATGAGGATGGTATTGAAGTTGGGGAAATCAGCAAATGTAAACAGATTGGAGCAACCATGCCATCATTTTAGTAACAAAAGCTAACATAAGACCTGCATAATTTGCTATTAAATAGCACATGGTAATTCTCAGTGAAAAACATATTTTTAAACACAAAAAACAAAAGGTTGAATTACACACAAGGATTGGAGCCTAATGCCAAACCAATATACAAAAAAACAAAAAAAAAAAAAAAAAAGTGAGAATATAGAATTGGAAAAAACAATTCATCAAAGAAAGAAAGAAAGAGAAAATGATCAAAAGCATAATAAAAAATTCGTCATGATTAATGCTACCATATTGTGTTCTTTAAAAAGAATTAATCAGTAATTGAAAATTTTGCAGCAGAAGTATATACGTACCGTCCCATTCAAAGTTATTCCAGTAGCTGGTATCACCCCAAGACCAAGCACCAATTCCAAGCCTTGTAACCTCCAAATCAGATCCACCCAGCTTCACCTTATCTTCCTTCATTTTCGAAGCAGTAAACTCCTCAGAGGCAACAGCTCTCACTCTATTAACAAATCTCCTATTACTTTGAACACAAAAACATAGACTACTAACATTCATAGCCATAGCCATAATGATTGATGGGGTCTCTTCTATTCAAGAACTTGAATGGCTTTTTCTTCTCTCTCTCTCTCTCTAAAAAACACGAAACTTGTATGGTCTTCAATTAGGTTTAGAGAAAGCACTGAACTTGGTCAGACATGTAAACAAATATTACAAAACCGTAACCGGATGCGTTTGTTTTCCGGAGGAGAAGAAACATGGTCCTAAAACTTTCCACGTCGACAGGCATTTGCCAATAACCAATAATCAAGTGGCGGAGTGCAATTTGGCTTTGGCGAAGTTTCAAAGCCAAGGAATAGAGATTAATTATTAGGTACGCTCCGCTTTCCTTACAAAAATATAAAACTTGTAGAAAGTATTATAGTTTTCGGTATAAGAAGTAATTTCATTTTCAAAATATTTTCAAAGTATTAGAAAATGTAAAGTAACTTAGAAAATAAATAAATAAATATCCCTAACATGGTACAATACTAAATAGTAGTTTCTGGGCTGGGTTTCTGTTGAGTAGGGTTGGACTGGTCCAGTTAAAGTTTTCACAAGCCTGACTACAGCTCATACAGTAATTTTTAGGCTGGGCTTCATTATAGAGACAAGGATTTTCAAATTTGTTTTCATATACACGGCATGAAAAAAAATCTATATTTCTGCCTATAACTGGATATTTATTCTATATTTAATTTGATAATAATTAATATTTTTCTATTGTGTTGATAGTGAATGATATTAGGTTTCTTGAATATATATTTGTTATGATTTCTTTTATCTTTGTTTATAACCGAGTTTTTTCTCTTGTCTTCTTTTTTAGGAGTAATTTCAATATGATTAATTGGTTCAATAGTACCTTTTACTATGTGTAGACCGAAGAATGGTAGTCCGAACTAAATTTTTTTCAATTCAAGTACCATAACTATTTTTTGTTTTGTAATCAAGTCTCGTCGATCTTGTTGACTAAAACCCAAACATATTTTTCGCACGTGATGCCGATATGACTCAATAAATAAAAGACATGTGGACTTTTTTTTTTGTTGGTCAACTTAATGCAATGAAATTACAAACTATCCCACCCCTAAATTAAAAAAAAAAAAAAAAGATTTTTAAAAAACCCTAAATTGTTTAATCACACACATTCTCTCCCTTTACAAATTTAGTTTCCTTCCTCTCTCTATGTTTCTTCTCTCTCACACTCTTTCCTTTCACTAATAGTAGTATCAATTGCACACCTCCCATTAAACTGAAATTGTTGTTTGATGTTGCCTTTTTCTCGATTTTTGTTGTGTTTGACAAGAACAATTATTTTACTAACGAGTAGCATTAACAACGTCCACGACCTTGTTTTAGATGTATGATTTGGGTGAGCATACACTTGTAGTTTTTGTTGAAACCAAATTGAAGTTTTAGGATGAACATCATTGGAACCACATTTTTTTGGTGTGACATGAACTCGGGCAAATGGTTATGGTTCTTTCAAAGTGTTTTAGAGGAATGATGATATTATTGAGAGATGTAATCATATGGAATGTTTTTGGATTGTAAAAGATGATGATTTATTTTTGAAAAAAATTCCGAGTGATAAATTTGATTTCAAGTATTCATGGCAGAAATAAATTCTAATTGACTTTTCCACATTACAAACCAAAAATGGTTCATGGTGTTGCAATGGAGTTTGGGTTTAGATTTGATATACATTTTTGTAATATAGTGATAGAGGTCTATGTAAAATCTAGGTAAGTTTCTTATGGACTTAAAGTGTTTAATTTAGATATGATTTTTTGGTCATTTTACCATCCCGTGCCTATCACATATATCCGAATTTTGATTAACAAGATCGGTGGACTTGATTACAAATTAAAAAAATAGTTATGGTATTCGAATTGAAAATTTTTTTAGTTCGAGGTACTAGTCTTTAGTCAATGCATAGTACATGATACTATCAACCCAATTAGCCTTTCAATATTTATCCTTTTGTGTTAAGCATTTAAGGATTTCAAAATTCGAACCGACGCTGTTTTTTTAAGAAAACATCCAAATGGTATCTTTTGGCCAACTTTTCCACCTCAAATTCATCTCATTTTGGATTAACAAATCCTCATAATTTTTTTTTTAGTTTGATTTAAAATTTGAATTTTGGTGATCAAATGGAAGAATGCCCTCTAAATCATTAGACTAAGCCTTCTAGATGAAGTGATATAAATCTAACTACCACGCATATTTCGATGCAAAAACTTACAAAAACCTATTATGAAGGAGGGGTGTGTATGTGTGTGTGATATATATAAAATTCTTTGATTTAAATTTTTTATTTTTATGAAAACTCATGATATATTTTCTTATTCAAAGAAGAAGTTTCTTTTCTTAATTTTGTAAATTAAGGACTCGTAATTTTCTTGGGTGACCACTTGGATACCATTGCTATTTTCTATAAGTTCAAAAAATATTAAGGAAAATAAAAAAAAACATTGTGAAGTATTGAAATCTCTTGTGTATATTAATCTTGATGTAAAACATATTTATATGCAAATACATAATTATAATAAGAACCTATAGTTGTATAAGATAAGTACAAGGTGTTTAATATCAAAAGGAGGTTGAGCAATGCTAACGATCCTACTTATACTAACGATCCTGCAATGTTAATAGTTTTAACACCCTTCCGACAAGCGCTTAGGCATTTATTAGGTGAAGCTTGTTTTTGAGAGGTCGAAAACGAGACATAGACAATGGCTTGGTGAAAATATCGATAACTTGGTACATTATGGGAAGAAAGTGAACTCGTTAAAGCACTACTAGTAGCTTTGTTTTCAAACAAATGATAGTGTAGTTCAATGTGTTTTGTCCTAGTATGAAACATTGGATTGGAGGTAAGATATGTGACATTAATGTTGTCACACCAAAGATCCGAGTGAGAAATAACAAAGCCAATTTCAACTAAAAGAGAACGAATCCAAATGACCTCTATTGTGGTATTGGTAATGGTCTTATATTCACTCTCTATAAAAGAACTAGTAATAATAGGCTATTTCTTGGCAATTTAGGATACCAACTATGAACTTAAGAAAATACCATTGCCACTCATTGATCGTCGATCATCAAAGTCGACTCCTCGGTCATTTTTAATAAAACATTGCAACTCTAAATACAAGGTAGAAGCATAAAACAAACCTTTGGATCGAGTACCTTTTAAGTAATGTGGTAATCTTTTCAAAGCATTCCAATGTTTATTAATAAATTGATGTATGAATCGACGAGTTTATTAATAGCATATGCAATGTTTGGGCATGTGATGGTAACAAACTAAAAACTATCAATCAATTAACGATAGTGATCACCGTGTTCAAGTGGATCATCATCGATTTTGGGCAAAATAGGAAAAATTATCATCGAAGTGGAACATGGATTACAATCTTCCATACCATCATGAATAAGAAGATCACTAACATACCTTTATTGAGAGAGGACAATACCGGTAGGATGAGAAAAGACCTACTATACTAAAAAAGTAATGAAGAGCACCTAGATTGTAAATATGAAATTCTCTTTTAAGTTCGTGTGATAATAGCTAACATTAGTGGGGGAGATGAACCTATTATAATTAAGTCATCCATATAAACCGAGTAGAAAAACTACGGTAGTAGTATAGCGAAACATAGATAGGGATGAGTTAACCTTTGATGGTGTGAACTATAAAGAAATAAGGAACCGACTTAGCCATCAAAGCTAAGCTCTTTGACATCCGTTTCAAGCCATAAAGAGAACAATTCGGTCCGCACATAAATTTTAGACATGAAGGATCAATGATATTTGTGCATTTCCCTTTGCCATTATCCTCAATTTATAGCGATCAACCTTGCCATCCCGAGTTCGTTTAATCCTATAGACCAATCTGTTCGTTATAATGTTAACATTTAATGGATACGAAATAAGAGTCTTAATGGTATTGGTTAGGAGTGCAACTATTTCGGTGTCATTGCTTATTGCCATTCACTCAATGGTTTGGATTAGGCATAAGTTCATGATTCATGGTCAAGGTAACCGAGGTTAGGTTTTTCTTTTAGGACAACATGGACTTGGAATTTATGTATTATAAAGGGACGAATGACCATAGAGTGAGTACGAGTGAGAAGAGAATTAGATGTAGTAGATTGGATAATAGGATGAAAAGAAAGATCAACAATAAGATTCGGACCTGAGAGGAATTAGATTAGAAAATAAATAAGGAGGGTTCACATTACAATGGATAATAGAAGAATGAGTAGAGGGATAGAATGTAGGAGATATTGTCCTAATTGTTGTAGTAGGTAAAGAAAAAGAAGGAACGAGAAGATATCTTAGACGATGTAAGAATTATAGGAGGGAGGAAACAAAATTAAATGGAGATAAAGGTAAAAAAGTAAAAATTAATCGAACACTTTTTTGAAAAGTATAAGGCCGAATTTGAAAGGAATAGCGAGCATGTGCCAAAATGGTTAAGCCGGTGTCAACAATATGTCCGATTTTACGTTCAAAAATGTGATTTTGTTCATGAGTATATGGATATGTAATACGATGAATAATGCCAACTTATTTGAAATAAGAAGGCAATTTTTGAAACTCTCCTCCTTGGCTCTAAATGAAATGATTTAATTGTTCAATTAAATTGTCAATGGACAAAGATTGAAATTGGAGAAAAATAGAGTGAACATCACTTTTGTTTTTAAGAAAATAAGTCTAAGTAAACCTTGTAAAATCATCAACAAACAATAGAAAATATCGATATCCTAAATTAGAAATCACGGGATCGAGCCCCCAAACGTCTAAATGAATGATATTAAAAAGTTTATTATTGGTGTGTTCAATAGAAGTTAAAGGAAAATGAGCTAATGTTTCTAAGTGACACGCGGAATAGTTACGAACGGACATAGACATAGTAGAACGATGCAAGTTATTATCTTTGATATTTTGGAGATAGTGCGAGGTTGAGGATGACCAAAATAAGAGTGCCAATTTACAAAGGGAACACTTTAGCTTAGGAA